GGAACTCAATCAGACGCATCAGACTGAATATACAAACCCTGTTCAGTTGTTAGCGCCGAGATTGCATGCCTTCCACAGGAATAACCTACAGTCCGCCCAGCGAGAACACAAGCGTCACAGCAATTTTCTGGCGAAAAGTAATCTGCAGGCCCCAAACGATAGGCGTGGGTAGACACAGCACAATGACATCCTCAACCAAAGAAATCGCTCCCATTGCCTGGAAGAAGGATCGCTGACCGCTCATGCAATGTCCCTTGAGATCCTTGTTATAGTAATACTGAACCGGCGTACATTGAAATATGTTGACCAACAGCGCCGTCAGGGCCCAACAGGCGATAAAGGCAATCAGAACGTTCGAGATGATTGCATATGCGCGCACCGTTCCCAGTAGACGCTTCAGAAACACGACGATCGATATCTTCACAAACGCAGCCGACGGCGCCCAAAACTTCTGTATCATCCATGAACCCTGTATCAATTTCGTGCATACGTTAGTGGGTGCCCACAGAGAACCAAGTGTTGCCATTGAGAACATACGAATTGGATACGTTGCCGTTCATCGGCCGGCAGAGAGCTAACTGGTAAACCCACGCCATTGAATGCAGCTATATGACAGAGGAAATCAGTATTCACCCGGGCGGCCAGCTATGCAGAAGAAAGAAGTGCGAGCAACTCACTGTCCACAACAAAGGCGGTTGCGCAGTAAGAAAGAAGCAGGCCCACGCCCATCAACCAGTCCTCCACTTTCAGACCGGCCGTGGTAAAGCGCCGCGAATACAGACGCAGGACATACGAAACGGTGGCCAGGGCAGCACCAATGATGGGCACGATGGTCAGAACATTCTTCCAGTATCGATTCTCTTCGTAAGTCATCCTGCACGGCCGGCGATACGAGTCAGCGATGCAGGGAGCAGCGACCAGGCGGGTCAGGCGATTCCATATAAGTTTCCCATTTCAGGGAGGGGGGAAGAGGGGAATTCGCGGTCTTTTGTGGTTCTGTGCAGGAAGGATCCGAATAAATGGATAATATTACGAAAGGGCTGTCGTCGCCACCAAAACCTAAAGGGCAAGGGATGGATTCTTTTAACTCAGACTCAGCCCAGCCGGAGTTACGATAACAATTGGGAAGGCGGCCGCTCATTTGTGCAACACTATTTGAGCCGGAGGAAGGTTTTATTGGCTTTCATTTCCACGGCTCGGCGAATTTTAACTTTTTAAACTTTCTCCGCCGCTAGATTGCACCAGCCAGCACTGAGACCAGAATAGATGACGCTCAGTAAGCGGCGTTAACTGATCGAGGTGGCTTGACTGCGACCGTGGTTCAGAGGTCGATCTTCTGTCCGCCGTGTTCAATGCGCTGTGCGTCCCGCTGGAACTGGCCCGTACCACTGCGATCAGCGCGTATATGTAGTAGTGATAAAACCCCAGCAATGCATCAGCTGGGATTCTGGGGGTTGAGGGGAGGCCTGGCAAGGATCATCGGCGGTGTGGATAAATTCCTTCGTGTGGCCTATGCCGGCATGCCGTGCGATGGCTTCAGGGGTTCTTCTGCAGGATTTCGGTTACCGAGCGAAGAAACCCCGAGGGAGAACGTGGTGCAATCAACGTGAGACGCTGGTCTCAGATGGTGTCCACATCGTCCGATTATTGCACAGTACAGGATGGTGGTAGTACTAGCAGTTATTTAGCATAGGGTGCAGAAGGTAACCCCGATGTTGTTTAGAGGGCAAGGTGGTGTGCATTCACGGAAAAGCTTCGGACGTCGACCGAAACCTCTCTCCACTACCAACAAGTCCCAACGGGGACCTGCGTCAAGGTTCCACACTTTAAGCACAGTGATTGGTGGTTCTTGATAGTGTATGCCAACCATAGCGGATTAGTAGGGGGTCCACTTGCGACTCCATGCAGCTTCCTTCGGTTTTCTTCACAGCTTCGGGCCCCGGTTGCGGCGTATGTCGCGCAACTTTTCGTATCTCGCTCTCCAGCTAGCAAGCAATTTTCCCTCCACAGCCCACAACATTCCTCTCTTGAATTTCAATAGTCTCGCATCGTATGAGACACTGAATTGGTCCGTTCATTCGGTTTTCTCCGAAGGTAAGAAAAATTCTCTTAATTTTGGCCCCGACCGTTCATTCAAATGGTCGCGATCGTCGCTGTTTCCCCGTTCCCTTCCGCCGAGTTTGTCTCACGCTCGCGTGGCAGCCCTGAAAAATGACGCCTTCGCCCTCCAAGACCTCGTTGGCTCTTCTGGCCGTCCAATTCTTTGGACTTGGCTCCGCCTGTGGTTGCGCATGCACTCTGGATAGCCTCAACACTACCCTTCAGGGTCGTGTGCAGCCCTTGACTCCTTTCTCCCTCCCTTGCTTCTCCAACTACAACGGCCAGTCCGTCACCCCCAACGATGCCGCCTGTGCCAACATCCAGGATAACTACACCGATCCTTACCTTCGCACCAACTCTCCCAATGGTTACATGAACAATCAGGATGAGATGTGCTCGTCCAACCCCGAGGATCAATGCCTGCTCGACAGCAGCGATCCCACCGATCCTTTGGCTTTTGTCAACCAGACCTGCCGTCAGGGTAATATGCCCTCCTACTACATCGAGGTGAAGGATGAAACCGATGTCCGCCACGCTCTGCAATTCTCCAACTGCTCCGGCACCCGTCTGTCCATCAAGAACAGTGGTCATGACTACCTGACCCGCAGTAGCGGCAAGGGTACTTTGGCCCTGTGGACTCGCAAGCTGCAGAACCTCAGCTACAGCCCTGCCTTTGTCCCCGAAGGCTGCCAGGCCTCCTACAACGCCATCACTGCCGGTGCTGGTGTTAACTTCGATGAAGCCTACGAGTTTGCTCACCAGAACAATGTTACCATCCTCGGTGGTTACTCCCCCACCGTCGGTCTCTCTGGCGGTTGGGTCATGAACGGTGGCCACTCGGTCCTCTCCCCCGTCTATGGTCTTGGTGTTGATCGTGTTGTCCAGTACAAGGTCGTCACTCCCGATGGCGAGCTGCGCATCGCCAACGAGTGCCAGAACCAGGACCTCTTCTGGGCCCTGCGTGGTGGCGGTGGTGGTACCTTTGGTGTTGTCCTCGAGAGCACTCACCGCGTCGAGTCCACCATCAGCTTCGTGGCCGCCATCATCAAGTTCACCAGCAACTCCACCAACGTCCTGCCCTTCATGGACATCGTTGTCAACAACACCCTGAAGTGGGCCAAGGAAGGCTGGGGTGGTCACGTCACTGGCGACACTCTTGTCAACGTGTCCCCCCTGCTCTCTGTCGCTGAAGCCAATGCCTCCATGGCCGAGGTCGCCGCCTACGCTAAGGCTCAGGGTGGTTCCGCCGTCATCGAGGCCTTCTCTTCCTGGTATGACTTCTACCAGAAGTACGTCACCTCCAGCTCCGTCAGCGTTGGTGTCACCCACTTCGCTGGTAGTCGCCTGGTTCCCACCGACGTCTTCGAGACCGCCGAGGGTCGCTCCAACCTGATGGACTTCTTCGAGCTCATCCTTGCCAACGGCCAGACCCCCTACATCCCCGTCGTCGCCCCCGTCCTGTACAACTACACCGAGGGCTCCACCAGTGCTTCCCCCGCCTGGCGTAAGTCCGTTTGGGAGCTGGGTTCCGGCAGCAGCTGGGCCTGGAACAGCACCCTGCAGACCCGTGAGCAGAAGATCGCCACCCTCCAGAACATGACCGCTACCCTGGAGCGCATCACCCCCGGCAGTGGTGCCTACAGCAACGAGGCCAATGCCTTCACTGTCGACTGGCAGGAGGCCTGGTGGGGAGACAACTACGACAAGCTGCTCTCCATCAAGCAGAAGTATGACCCTACTGGTCTGCTGAGCTGCTGGAAGTGTGTTGGCTGGGAGGATTCTCAGGCTAACAGCACTTGCTTTGCTGCTTTCTCTTGAGTTACTGGCCATTGGCCCGGTCGGTCTTGAGTTGTATACATAATCAACCCCACTGGTAGTGGGAAGACGCGATAGATATTGTTCTTGTTCAACGACTTGATCTGTATATTATGTCAAGCATTTGATGATACTGTATACGTTTTAATGAATAAAGACATTCATATGTTTGAAACAGATAGTTTCTGAATCCTCTGAATATCTACAGCATATTAGACACTTCTGTAAATTCCTGTAAATGCGACAAGCAATTCCTATTACCCGTTACACTTTACGAAGGTTTAGGGTGTACACTACTTTTTTACTCCCTAGAAATCCCAGGCAAATCTTAGGCACTGCATTTCAATACGCTTCGCGTCGAAGCTTAGCAGGAATTATCATCTGGTACAGACAAGTACTAGATCAGAGGTTCTTTGTGTCGCGAGGCTCACCGATCGGATGGGGACAGTAGTATGATATATTTTGGCATCCAGTGAGGACGCCCTAAGAAGTCGAGACTACTATTGCGCGGGGTGTGGATAGTTCCGAGGAGAAATTATCATAATATCGAACTGAACGCTGAAAGGAAATATATTATATATTAATAATAGACTAACTTGCTCGATTAAAACCATAGTGGCACTGCCAGATCTACAGAATCATAAAGAGGTGGCCGACCGGCCAGCGGCAAAAACAATATAGAGATGATGGCCCACTTTCCTTAACAGCATAGCATTTCTATGAAGTAAACGTTCTATGCAGTAGAAATATCCTCCGGTATATGCTCTCTGCCGTAGGTTAATCTAGGGATACGTGGAGAAGAAGATCTAGTGAGTGCCCCAGCATCATACGCGCTGGGGCTACCAGTGAGTGAGACGATACGACCATCAGGTGCGACAAGATGGTGCCATGCCTCCAGCTATTATATTGGTTCTTACATCAAGCGGCTACATGATGAGTTGTTGAGCTTGCTATGTTACCATAAACTCCTAGTAAACTGGCGGTAGCATAATGTGATGTTCATTGCAATAAGAATATAACAGTCTCCCCAATACCTATTCTCAAATCTGGCTAATGACCAGATAGTCGTAGCGACATATGCTCAATCAGGACCAACCACGAGGCAACTTACTCCGGCTCGCAGCCACCCCAGCCAAGGAGTTATTTGTCGCGCGACCGATGATATCGAATGTAGCAACCTCTGCCTGAAGCTCTTTGGCGAACCAAGTTCGTAGTTCCACAGCCACCAGAGAGTCGGCAGGGCCTTATGCTCATCTAGACTATCTTCCTCAACGGACAATGTCCTTGCCAGCTTGATGCTCAGGGCTTTTATAACCGCGGCGGTTGCGTCAGCCAGTGATTCTGCGCGTCGGAATGCAGATGGAAGATCAATGGTCTGGCCCTGCCGCTCAGAGTGCCCTTGGACTAGGCGTTGTTGGGCCATATACCGGAAAACGGGCCTTCCAACCCAGTAGGCCTTGATTGAAGCACCTTCATACTGTGGACGCATTCCAAACGATACTTGGCAAGGTAAACCTTTCTCTTTGCAGACGGCGGGGTTACAGTACACATCAAGAAGTGCGTGGAATTCAGGTTCGGTGATAGGTTTATGTGGAAAGAGGCTTAGTGCAATGTTAAGGAGTCTCGGGTCTCGGGCCACTCGTCCGGTGAAGGTGAAGAGCCCGAGGTCAAGGGTTGCGGCATTCTCCCCACATTGTGTACGGTGATGAGCTAGCGCATCCTGGAATGTGTTGCCTGCGGCATAGTTTGCCTGGCCTACATGTCCAGCTATCCCATTCATCGAAGAGAGCATGAGGAAAAAGTCAAGCCCACGTGGGAGAAGTTTGTGGAGGTTCCAGGATCCTTGTACTTTGGGCCTGACGGCCGTCTGCCAGTCCTCGAGGCTCATATTTTCGAAACCAACATCCTGGTTGATCACATTAGTTACATCTGCACCAGCCACTCTGCTTCATTCGGTCTTTATCACTTACTTGCAAGACCATGGCGGATTGAATACAGCCTCTAATCGGGGGCATATGACACGCCGCGTCGGCGAGTGCGTCGCGAAGTTTTCGCTCATCCGTAATATCGCACGCATATACTTGAGTCTTGACCCCGCCTGCTCTTAGTTGACCAAGGTATTCCTGGGAATCGGCGTCCTTGCCTCCGGAGCGGAAAAGAATTAGAATATTTCGAGCGCCCCTGCTCACCAACCAGTCGATCATACTTTGACCGAGTCCGCCCAAGCCGCCCGCGACCAGATACGTGGCATTAGGCTCGAAGGAAGAGTTTGGCCTTGATATAATTACGGTCTGTGGGAACTCATCAGTTAGTTGGATCTAGCAAAAGCTGTTAGGGTAGAGTAAAATTACCTTGACGATGTCTGTGTGACGTAGTTCGATCACTATCTTCCCGAGGTTTTTCCCGGACTGCATATATCGATACGCCTTTTCCAGTTCACCGACACCATACAATAGAGTTGGCTCCTGGGGATGAAGGTTTCCTTCATACATCAGGTCCATCACAGCGTTCAGTGCAGCACGGGCGTGCGATTGGCGATCCTGCAATAGCAAGGACAAGTCAAAGAACCTATAGGAGACGTTCTTTCGGAATGGAGCCATGGGTAGCTTAGCGTTTGTCAGGATATCTTTCAGCCCTAGCTCAACGAAACGGCCGTAAGGCGCAGTGCACTCCCACGATTGCACTAAGCCTTCGCCAGAGAGAGAGTTCACGACCACGTCGACACCTCTTCCGTTTGTCATGTGCATAATCGCAGATGCAAAATCAGTTGATCTGCTAGAGAAAATGTGGTCTCCGGGGATAGGGAAATTCTTCATGATCAAGCTCTTTTTCTCTTCCGTTCCAACGGTGGTATATACCTCTGCCCCATAATGTACTGCTAACTGGATGGGGGCTTGCCCTGTGCCACCAGCCCCAGAGTGAATTAAGACTGACTCTCCAGGCTGGATGCGGGCCACCTCTGCGAGTGAGCACCAAGCTGTTATAAAGTTCGTTGGGATTCCCGCGGCCGCGGCAAATGACATCCTGGACGGAATGTGAACCACTGGCATGTCTTCGCGGAAGATGGTTCTGGCCTGAAAACAAGCTGGCACAATCCCTGCAATCCGGTCACCTGGCTTGAACCTTGTGCACTTGCTTCCGAGCTTGGTGACTACCCCAGCACATTCCTGCCCGGCCATTGCGTTGGGTATCTGGCCTAATGACGTGAGGACGTCGCGAAAGTTCAATCCGGTTGCGTGAATCTCAAGCTCGACATCCAGGTCTCCCAAGCAGTCTATCGACTCAGTCTCTATAAATCGAAAGCCTTCGGAGATGCTCGAGCGAACCCAGTCTAGGCGTAATGGGGTCTGTCCAAATAGTTGCTCACACTCAATCTCACCTGCTGTCTGCATTGAAACTGCCTGTTCAAGAGGCGGGCAGTCGAAGAGTCGCTGATTAAAGAATCTTCCGTCCCGCACGACGTACTCTGTGTCAAGTCCCTGTAGGGGTGGCTGCAGGATATTCTGGATCATTGCTGCGATAGATGCTGGCCCTGTGGATCCCTCAAGGAAAAGTATATATCGGTGCTGCTTCCCGTCTTCCTGAGACAGAACACGGAATAAGCCCTCAATGAGATGGATTCTCGGGTCAGGTGCTGGGAGGTCAGTCGATGATGTTACCCAAAGTGTAGTAACAGAGGATGTAAGAAGGCTCTGAAGCTTTTCATAGACAGCTGAATCCATGCCATATAGCAAGGGCTTCTCGAACTCAAGAAGGAAGACCCGAAGTACATCCTGGGTGTCTACAGACACGCTTTGCAAGGGTAAACAGCCCACGCTGGATTCAGTGAGTGACTGGCATCTGTCCTCAAGAAAGCTGGCGAGCGCCTGCTGCTTAGGCTCACTCGGATCGTACACAATCTCGATGCCAGGATTCCAGGCACTAGATATGACGTCCTCCACGGCGGTAGAGACTAAGACCGCAAGCTCATGAACTGTTCCGTCTTCGAAGTCCGGGAAGTACAAGTCGCAGCCGGAGAAACCTGTTTTCTGCAACAGATCATGCCAGCATTTTCGGTCGACGCAAGGCCCATGAGCACGGTAAGGTTCGCAGCCTTACCAATCGATCAGCATTGGTTGTCCGTGACCAGTCAAGATATGTGACTGCAACAGCAAGGATAGGAAACCTACTGAGCCACCATCCCTCAAGCAGTCCGAATGCTGCCGCGGTGTGGAAGGGGCCTGTCACCTCGGCTAGCACGAGCTTCCCACCACTACCTCACTCTGATTAGTGCTCCACACAGCATATGTCTGATAGAAAGAAGGAACTCACGGCTTCAGTAGCTTGCGCATATTGGTCAAGGTTCGTTCCAAGCTTACAGTCGCATGCACAACTTGTGAGTCAATCAGTAAATCTTGATGCATAAGTGGCATCACGAGTGAAGCGACATACCCATGCAGCGACAACCATATCATATTTACCCGCTTCAAAGCCTTGTTGTGTTGGGTCGTTATCGATGTCTAGCCTTTCAAACTCCATTCGGGACCCCTCTTGTGCCACTTGCTGCCTTTCCGAAAAAAGAGCGGGAGATATCTGTGTAAACCCAGCGGGCAAACCTCGAGCCACCGTTATGCTCAGAGGCCCCCAAGGCTCTAAGACAAGCCCTGGTATCTACTCCGGTACCAGCTCCTATTTCAATTACCTCCATCGAAGGATTAGTATGAGCCTTGAGATTCATGTACTCAGGGAGTGCTTTCGCGAAGCTAGTCTGGGCCAACTGGCCACGGTCAAAGTCAGCATGTTTCAGTGGGCAGGGGAATACGATTGGCCTTACTGCAGCTTCATAGAACTCATCTACAATACTGCCCGTGAAGAAAAACTTCAATGGATCCTGGGCACCGGTCAGGAAATCTAGTAGGTTGCGGCCGGTGTTTATAAGAAGCTTGGACAATGGAGCCTCGACGAGCAGACGGCTCTCCGTGTCATGAATATACTTCCGATCCACTAGCCGGCTTCTCCAGGGCTCAGAAGAGTACAGCATTTTTTCCATGCTCCAGACGATGCTTTTGATGGGCAGCCCACTGGATATACTTTTGTAAATGTGGCTTCACCGGCTGACCCTTCTGTTCCGTGAACATTCGCAAACCCTCCAGTACACGGGCAAGAACCACAAAATTGAGGTCAATCATCGTCTCCTTAGAGCCTGTTGGAGAGGCGTTCCTAGGGCAATATTGTTCAATCTCGTTATTGTCTAGAAGTCGAATATACGGTTTCCATTCAATCTGCGCACATAAAGACCCGTCCGCAGAAGTTTTCTAGCTATGGGACTGGACTCCGTCGACTTCGGTACATTTGAGCCCTTCGACAAAAACCACAGGCTGCTGACAATGAGGCCCAAATGCAGGGATTGAACCGGTCATTTCTGTTGAAAAATCAAAGGTTCCACGCGCCAGGACTTTAAATGACTCTGATGACTTGGGCAGGCCGTTACAGAGAATCCGGAGCCGCTTGATATGTGTTGGAACATAGGTGGGCATGGCCTTGGTTCCGCAGCCCGTTCTACAGCATAGCAACATCAGAAACATGGCATCGAGAGCCGTGGGATGAAGGGTTGACTCAGGTGTGATTAGGCGATGATGGATATTAGCAACAACCGTACTGGTATCATGTGGATTACAGGAGAGAGCAGTAATCCCCCCGGAAGGTTTCGCCGTAAGAATACCCGCATTGCTTCAACTGATCATAGATGGCATTGACATCCGGATTTGTGTCACACTCCTGCCCTGCATGTCGTAGAGCGTCTCGATACCGCGTCTCAATTATGTCAACCTGTTCGTTAGTGACAGGGTCGGCCCCCTGCGGTTCATACATGATACGTATAGACCCTGTGCAATTTGTGGTCCAGGAGGAGCCAACGGCAGAGTCAAGACGAAAGTTGAAGAAGTCTGAGTTCTTTGCCTTCAAGCTACTCACCGGGCTCATTGAAAAGCTAGCTTCCACATCACCGTGATCTGGGACTTGGATAGCTGCAAGCAGGTCTGTATCTAGGACGTCTAAAGAGAGGACCTGACGTTCATCACGACATAATTGTTTTCCTGCTTCCACTCCCATCAGGATCATCCCTGCTCCAGGATACAATACTGTCCCTTGGACCTATTACAACTTCCTGTTAGTTGTTGGCCCTAGGTCTCCCCAGAGACAACGAGAAATACATACTTTGTGATCCTGAACCCAGGGAATGGCGGATGTCCGGATGATATGTCTCCAGCGGGGTTGATGGGGGTTCCAGTAAGGATCCGGTGTCCCGAGAAGCTCATGCTTGCCAAACCGGGGCAAACGGGTGTTGCGACTAATCTGACTCTCGTACCAGTAGGATTGGTATGATCGAATGGGTACCCAGGCAGGTTATCCAGACAGGGCGGGCTTTTGTTATGTTCATATCGAGATTCTTGGTTTGCGGCGGCCAAATCAACAGCATAACCAGCAGCCCAGAGATATCCCACAGCATCTAACAGGGTTGAAGTAGCCGATACGTTTCGCTGGAGCAGAGATATGTAGTGCACCGAGGTGCGCTTCAGGTCTGCGAGAATTGACTTCGTGGGCCCCTGCAGGACTGAGTGTGGTCCAATCTCTACCACATGGTGAACTTCCAGAGACTTGTAATGACTACCGTCCAACTTCTCCGGGGGCGAAGTCGTTGAAATACATGCCACACCCAAAGCTTCGGAAAACCGCACTGGAGATACTAGATTGCGCGCCCAGTATTGTGGTTGCCGCAACACATCAGGTGTAATCCAGTTTCCTGTGACCGTGGACACCATACAGGAGCGATGCCCGTGAGCTACATCCGACTCTTCGTCCATTTCGCCGATAGCAGACTCATAGTGGGATGCAATTTCATGCATTTGGAAGGAGTGGTAGGCTACCTTGACTTTCAGTCTTCTGCAGAATACCTGATCTGCTTCCAGGCGTGACTTCAGGTCCTGGATCTGTGATTCGTCTCCGGACACCGTAATGCTATTAGGGCTGTTGATGCAGGCGACCGTGAGCCGAAGGAGAGCATGTTCTTGACTGATCCTATTCAGGTATGTCAGAATCTCCTTTTGGCTTAGCGCAACAGCAAGCATAGAGCCTTGAACAGAGCTGTTTGTCTCAAGCTTGCTGCTCCAGACTCCTCGGTAGAATGCGATTCTCCAAGCTTCACGGCGGGAAATTGCGTGGGTGGAGTAACTGTGATCAGGATTAGGAAACTTCCCAAATTAACGAGCCCGATGGGGACTATACGCAGCAGCGATCTCGCCAGATGAGTGGCCCACAACCTTCTTGGGAGTGATTCCAAACTCCTCAAGGAGGTCAACAAGTGCAATTTGCAATGCTGTGCATAACGTCTGACTGCGGTCGGTCAGGTTGACAGAGGATCCAGATTCGCTTTTTTGAAGGGCATCTAACATGGATCAGTTTCAATTAATGGAGGCCTTTCCCATTGTTTCATGCGTACCCAAAAGATCCCACTGACATCCGAGGGTTCGTAGGTAGGCGTTTGCCTCGCGAATGCTGTTGAAGAATGTCGGATATGCGTCCAGAAGCTCTCTTCCCATCGCATACCATTGGGCGCCTTGCTATAGATGAGACAGTGAAGTTAGAGCTACCTCCCGGGGCTGTTTCAGGTACAGGTGACTTACCCCGGAGAATATGTAAGCTAGGTTTGAAGATGTGATGGACTGTCCTGGAGATACCAGTCTACCGGGAATGGTATTCCAGTCAGTATCAGGCTCCGTAACAGCATATGCCCGCCAACTAAGACACGATCTCCTGGAGATTAACGTATGTGACAAGCGGTCTAGATAGTTGGAACGTTCCTGCGATTTAATCTGAAGATTTGCAAAGAAGGGTATCCAAGTATCCTGTATACGCCTGATGCCTTCCTTGTCCGAAGACGACCATACAAGTAATCTTGCGGTGCTGGAAGGCTTTCTTGTTGTACAACCAGAGTCCATTGTCAGCTTACTCGGTGCATTGTCTACAATGACATGCACATTGGTACCGCCAAATCCAAAAGAGCTGACGGAAGCCCTTCGTAAGCTAACGTCCGGCCACGGAACAGCCTTTCTAGGCACCTGTGTTTGTTAGGACCACACCAGTTGACTGTGTAGAAGAAGAATCTTTTCCAGACCTAAGCAAGGAGTATTCTCTGTGCTACCCGTTAGAAATTCCTCGCCCCCAGGTGGGTTACACGGGACCATGAACAAAGAGCGTGGATCTCAGAATGTAGGTCTATCCCTTCTAAAGCTCCCATATCTTCATTATTCCTCCTCATATGGAGCATCATGGTGAAAGATCCCGCTTCCATGATACTTCTACTTGCTTGATAAAATCAAAGAGGGCACTTGCTATGGGACGATACGAATTCACGGGTCCTAGCGACTCCAGCGACCACGACTGGGAGGGTGGACTGGAAGGAGCTCGCCTCTACCTTGGGGGCGCTGGGTAGGACGTCACTGCGGAAATCATATGTCGGTAGCTAACTGATTGGTGTCCTACTAAGGCTCTACGTAGCTTTATTCCTGACAGGGCTGGAGACAACGATCATTGGTACCACGCTTGTTTCCATCACGGATGACCTACAAGGTTTTGGGAAAAGCAGCTGGATCATCACATCATACCTTCTAACATATGCTGGTAACAGATATTACCCTAGCATTCATACTCACTCTCACATCATCGTTCAGGCTTCCTCATGCTTTGGTCCAAAGCTGGTGACAGATGGGGAGTGCGGCCCACGTTGCTCACTTCTGTCGCTCTCTTCACCGCGTTTTCTGGTGGTTGTGGTGGTGCACAGAGCCTGTCCCAATTGTGATACCTCTTCCGTCCCCTATTGAAAGCCGATTCTAGTCTAGTGCTTCTCGCTTGCTAATTCTGTCACAGAATCATTTGCCGGGCCTTCCAAGGCATGGGCGCAGCCGGGATATACGGTTTGGTCATATTCTCTTTGATCCGAATGGTGCCGAAGAAAGATTATGCCACCGTCACCGGTGTGTCTGGGATTGTGGCCTCGTTGGGATTGGTCATGGGCCCCTTGTTCGGGGGTGCAATCACACAACATGGGGACTGGCGCTGGGTATTTCTCCTAAAGTACGAGCGAAACATTGTAAGAAGCTGATAATCTTATCTGTTTTTGCTGACGTCGACGCTGCAGTGTCCCAGCCGGTGCCTTATCTTGGGGATTGATCTATTTCTCCCTGCCGTCAGGCTTCCCAGACCCACCGGGAACTGAGAGTCCGGCACTAGGGCCCTCCTCGTTCTGGACCCGGCAGGGTGTGTTACTTCGCCAAATTGACTTTGTTGGGGCGTTCCTCGTGCTTGGCACGTCCGTTTTCATGGTTGCCGCATTGCAAGAAGGTGACTATGATTTTGGCTGGGATTCCAGCGCGGTAATCATTTTCTTCGTGCTTTCAGGGCTCTGCTTCCCTCTCTTCCTGTGGTGGCAGTGGTTCCTCAGTCGATGGGATCTTGCCAGCCAGCCAATCTTGCCCTGGCGACTGCTTGTCAATCGCCTTTTCGTGGGAGCGATCCTGTACGTCAAGTCACCCAATCACACTGGATTGATCATATGATGTGCTAACCAAAAGTAAATACATCCAGTGGGTCTCTAACCACGGGCGCAAGCCTGACGGTAAGCGTTGTTGAGATCCCACAACGGTTCCAGGTTGTCAATAGCAGCTCACCTCTCGGAGCCGGGGTAAAACTCCTTGCCTTCGCCGTCAGTGTCCCTGCCGGCATGATGTTCTGCTCTATCGTGGCCGGTCGATATCCACTGCCCCTTGTCTACCTTGGAATCGCCGGTATTTGTTTGCAAGTCGTAGGGGCTTTCCTCTATTCGAGCATACCTTCCGAGACGCAGATATGGCGTGGTCAGTTCGCCTACCTCGTCCTGGCGGGGTTTGGTAATGGTCTGGCGTTCGGTACATTTTATTCTATGCTGCCACTGGTCGTGACAATGGCGGATCAGTCCATTAGTATAGGGACGGGATTTCAGCTACGCATGCTTGGCGGTGCTCTTGGGATCGCGGCGGCGACGGCCCTTCTACACAGCTATACTCGAAGTCACCTTGCATCATTTCTCCCCGCCAACGAGGTGGATGCACTTGCCATATCCAGTCAGATAATTGATACCCTGACCCCTGAGATGCAGGTGCGGGTGCGAGAGCTCTACGCCGAAGCGTATAGCGAGCAGATGAAGCTGGTAGGGGGCTTCTCGGCCGCTCAAGTTCTCGCCGTGGGGCTGGTGTGGAAGCGGAACAATGTGCGTATTGTCAAATGATAAACGCAGTATTTGTATATTAAGACGGTCAATGGCTTGTGCAAGAAAGTCAGGATGGAAGAATAATTCCAAGACTGATTTATTATCCCTTGCGGAGTAACAGAGGATGTCCAGGCGGTGAATGCGCCCCTTGGCTAGACGAAAAGCGATCTTTTTTCTCTTGGAGCGGATAAAAAGGCCATGTGGCGCAAATATCGGGAGGTGGTATTGTGTGCGATGGGCATGACTGGAGTCATATAGTCACCCAAGCATGTAAGATGAAGCTCTTCATCATATCCACAGGAGTATGTTTTGTTCCTGAATTGGGCCGGCTGGGTATTCAAGGAGCGTTGTATCCACGTTTCAGTTAAAGTACACGGAGATATACTCCGCATAATGTCATCGATAGAGTTACATTCCTGCCTCCCAATGCTGCACAACGCGAAGGCCCGAAACTCTACGATATTAATTCACTCCTTCCTGTTAGGGCAAGGATCGTCTGTCAGATGATCTATTGCATTTTTGCATAGGCTTGCTCGGAGTAACCGTGCTTGTGCATCCCTCAGGCTGTATACCATGACACTCACCTTTCTGGTTGAATTCATCTCCTCGGCCACAACACTATCTGCACATCTCGGAAATTCATTGACTAAGATTCTCGAAGATTAGCAACGGCTGCATGTCCCTGAAATCTCACTGACGGCTTAGCTCCCTCTAGAATGCTTATATCACCTCAGAAACGACCGTAGAGCTATAACACGACTGGCCCAGTCACGACTGCGGAGATCAAACCCATAAGATCCGTTTCCTCGCAACTAGAATACCGAGGAATTAAATCTGATCCACGCAGTTGAAGACTGCCTATCTTGAAGTGATGCCAATGATGGTGGGATCCGCGCCCCTGCCGGAGCAACGTAGGGCCGAAGACCCCATCTCGACAGGAAGCTGAATCTGTATCATAGAATCAACTCTAAGGGTACCAGAATGGCAATTCGGTTACCAAATGTCATTTTTGCTTCCTGTTCGGATAATAAATAGTATTATTATGACATTGTGTCGTCATTTGGGGTACGGAGAGGCCAAACATTACTACCAAGAGCAAGACCTTGTACTAATTGTATATATTCGTGTCTCCCTCCATTCCGCACTAAAATGACATTAACACAGATCCAGTCGCCATTTGAAAACCTGAAACCTCTACTAGTTTCAGCCAAACAATAATACCCGTCATTCCAAATCTGCCATTGACACATAAATCGCATTCAGACGTCAAGCTACTCTTTCGGTCCTATGTATAGCAACATTATCAACCAGGTCACAGCCCCCGAATTATATCGGCCGCCCGCTCAGCCACGGCATACGTCGTAGCCTGGATATTGCCAGCCGGTTCCAATGGGAAGACACTAGCGTCCACAACACGCAAGTTCCGGGTGCCATGCACCTTCAGCTTAGAGTCCACAACACCGCCCAACTCAGCAGGCATCATAGCGCAAGATCCCGCCGGGTGGAAGCAGGTGAAAAGACGCTCCTTGACAATCTCCTTTGTCTTCTCAAGGTCAGTCAGATCGATAGCCCGCTCGGGAAGTCGGGAACCAGGTTTCAGTAGACCCGCGAAGGGCTCGGTGGCGGCGACCTGGTCGAGGTATTGGACGTGGCGGGCTAGAATCTCAATGTCAAGAGGGTGGGACAAGTAGTTGGGGTCGTAGATGGGCTTGTCGTTCGCATTGGCGGAACGGATGTGTACGGAACCACGGGAGAAGGGGTGGTTATGCAGGACTAAGATTGTGATGTAATTTCCCGGGAGAGCTTTAGCAAGGACGTCCGACATGGTGGTTTTGCCGGGGTTCATGTGCACTTGGATAGGGAGGAACATGTACTGTGCTGAGGCGTTGCGGCCCTCTTGAAGAAGTTTGCGCTGGAGCGCGTATTGCTGCTGCTGGGCGGATGGGGCATCCTTCATGTGTCGATCCAGGTGCTGCGTGAGGAGCTCTTCCACCTTTTCGCTTGATAGTCTGCCGTCGTGGTCCATCAGGGGCAGGTAAGCCATACTGACAGGCATTCCTGCTAGCGGTCCAGAGTGCGTTTCTTCGTACAGCTTGATCAAGGACTGCACGACATTGGGATCACGCGTAATATCTCCCGAGATTTGCCCATCTGCAACTTCGAAGCTGACGGCTGCTAGGCAGTGGTCCTGGAGGTTCTCGCCAACACCGGGCCGGTCAACGACCACCGGAATGTTGTGCTTCTCCAGGAGGTCGCGTTTCCCAATACCCGACAGTTCAAGGATCTGCGGTGAGTTGAGACTACCTGCGCAGATAATCACCTCGCGATTTGCCACGATCTCGCCAGTCTCTTCGCCTTTTGTCTTCACTTGCACCCCGGTCGCAGTAGCAAGACCATCGGCGTCCTTGGTCAGTAGGACTCGTTCCACCATGGTCTCAGCCAGCAGGTCCAGATTCGGTCGGTCTGCCACCTTAGGGGAGTAGTAGGCGCCAGCATAACCGCGACGACCAGTCGCTCCGTCGACAGACAAAGGGGAAGTGAATGCACCGACTTTGCGGCCCGAGATGGGATCCACGTCAGTTCGCCAGCCCAGGTGGCCAAAGGTTTCATCCCAAGCCTGGTTGAAGGGGCCATATACATTAGGCAAAGTGACAGGAATCGGTCCATCTTTCCCTTGGTTCTCCTGCTTCATGTACTTATCCAAAGAGAGAAAAGCGGCAGTCTCCTCAGAAGGTGGAGTGTAGGTGTGGAACTTGCGTAGGTAAGGAGCGATGTCCTCAGGCCCCCAACCCTCGTTGCCCAGGGACTTCCATGCGGCGAAATTGGCCTCAGACGGATACATGATAACGGAAAAGTTCATGGTGGAGCTGCCACCGACCACACGGCCACGTGGCTGCGCAATTTGTCGGTTGTTGACATGCACCTGTAACAGGGATTAGACAAGTGCCGGCATGATAAGCCCGAGGCTGAGACACCGAATCCTTACCTGCGGCTCACTCATATAATCCCAGTCGAAATCCGGATTCCCATACAATGTTTCTAGGAATCCGGGGGTCTCAATGCGAGGATCCCCCATGCGGTTGGCACCGGCTTCGATAAGGAGCACCCTCACATCAGCGTCTTCGGTGAGACGGGAGGCGAGCACCAGCCCACCAGTTCCCGCCCCAACAATGATGTAGTCGTAGGATTTCAGGCCGGTCATGGTGAGAAAAATGTCAGTCGGCGTGTTTGGAAGGGGAGAAGCAGGCAGGTCGGCAGGGCCACACGGGATGAAATAGGAGGCTTCGGTTTGAGACTCCTGCCTCGACGGGGCAAGTGCACTGATGGGACTTGAACCAAAAGAGATAACGGTAGATTGGGATTGGCAATGCCACAGTGGAGCAGATAGAGCAGCCCCCAAACGGCCTTTGACTCGGCATTTGGCCTGGAGATTGCTGGATTGGCCGTGGTGGAGTGAATGACAGCGGCCGCCGTTTGAACTAGTCGATTAGCAGCGCGGACTAGCCCTACTAACCAACACTACAGAGCGCCGCCGTCACGCCAAAGATCCTGGCGGGTCCCACTTCACACACTAAATTCACTGACCAGCCTGGAATTGACAGCCCAATTCCGAGCCTAGTCAACTTGGTGATGATCGCGAGCCGGATCGTCGCTGTCTGGACCAGCAAGGCTTTTTGGACTGTGCGTTGCTGACTCCTTCAAGTACCACCAGCCTTGCACGCCCGTGTAGGATGAGTTCCAGCCTGTCTGGTGAACTTCTTCCCCGTCACGGTTCCCATGATGCCCGGGGGCAGGATACCGGCATGTCGATTCAATTCTACAATGTTTTCGCATACCCCATTGTGCGCGACCAGCTGATCGCCAATACCGTGCTGGTGGCCCTGAGCACGGCGTCAATCGGGCTGCGGTTCATGTCGCGCAAAATTAGACAAAGTAAATTCTGGTGGGATGATGCATTCATTGTGGTGTCTATGGTGCGATCACCTGTGGAACGAAGGAAGTGACTCATGCTTGGGACTGACTCGCACTCCAGCTGCACACCTATGGTATGCTCGCCATGCAGTACCACTATGCACGAGTCGGCATGCGCCACCACGTTACCGAACTTCCTGCAATGAATACGATCCTAATCTTTAAGGTTCGATGTGAAGGCTTGTCCTGCGCTTTGATCCCCCCGCTAACCGAACTAGATGCTTATCGTTTACCAAATCGTCTATTACAACGCCATGGTCACCGCCAAGTTTTCCTATTTGTTCTTCTATCTTCGCATCTTTGTGACACCTGGATTTCGCATGGCCGCTAGAGTGTGCATGGGCTGCGCAGGGGCCTACTGGCTCGGAAGTATGCTGCAGGTCTTCCTCATCTGTCAACCATTCGCGAAGAACTGGGATGCTACTTTGCCTGGTCATTGCGCTAGCATGAATGTCGCCTTTTCCACCATTGGGGCCTTCAACCTCGTCACCGATCTTCTCATCATGGCTCTGCCCGTACACCATATTTGGAAACTGCAGATGTCGACTGGGACGAAGGTGGCGCTTTACGGTATTTTCGGCGTGGGTTTGTTGTGAGTATTTCCGATGCGGTGAACATTGAACACAGAAACCTGTGGATACTAATAGTTTGTTCTTAGCATCTCGGCTATTACCATCATTCGTATTCATGTCCTCACCACCGTCGACTTCACCGACGTCTCATACAGCATGATCTGGGCCGCCTTCTGGAGTGTCACGGAGCCCGCACTAGCCATTACCAATGCCTGTGTGCCAATGATGCGTCCTGTTTTCAAGGCAGCATTTCCAGGTGTATTTTCCTCCGCTAAGAACGCCTACTCGTCGCAAACTGGAGCCCAGTCCGGTGCTTCGGGCTCGGCGTTCAAACGGATGCGGGATACAGAGAGTGAGATGCCTCTGACGCACCTGGAGCCCACCAAGAGTGGCAGTCGTGGTGTGGAGTACGAGGCATCATTGAATGATCGCTCGCAAGACGAGCATATGCCAAGGAGTGTGATTGGGGAGTCAGACCGGTAGTTCGATGTGGGAAAATTCAGGAACTTTTCATATGTGTGTGACTGCATAATTCCATAACTTTGACATGTATTGGATTCTTATGCTCGGGTACCTCCATTATGGACAACTCCCATTTTCTGGCCCAGACAGACATAGCCGTACAGACCAATGGAAAGTCAAAATATCATAATTGAATCAGCAACGGATCTTGCCGTCAAGTCTAATCCAGCATATTCCTACCACCCGAGCCCACTGCAGTCCGTTATGCATGACATAGTTCAACATCCTCTCTATCTCGGTAAGATTCTCATGCTTGCTCACATCAAAGGTCCCTTCATGAAATGGGATTAGCTCTTCCCCGGGTGTGGCCATAGCATCAGAACGGTAGATTCTCACACTCTTATTGGTAGCCAATGCTGCATATACCTTTCCCGACTCATTCTTCACAGTACAGCGAAGGTATTCCACAAATTTATGCACAATCATACCATTTCACCAGTCTGGAGCCCCTGCCGGTAGGACCTTACATCTGACAGTTAGAACTTGTGGCCAGGCCGAAAAGTCCCCATGTTTTTCTGGGCGAAATGTTTGGATAATGTCAAGTCCAATCATGTGATAAAGTTCGGGTGCCGAGTCTTGAAAGCTATACCCGTGGTTGCGTTTGAGGAAGAACCAGTCTAATGTTATCGCCTGCCAGATGTTATAGGTTTCTCATCGGTGCTGTTGCTTTCGGTATTGTGCAATGCGTACTGGTAAGCGAGGTTGGTCTGTGTAGACGTATGGGAAGAAGTGGACTTGATACTGAACGGACATAAGCATCCAAATTCCCGGTATATCGTCCGTTGTATAGTCAAGCAGTGCGGTACTGATGAACGAAGACAATACGAAATATTCCAAGGCGCTTGATAGCTACTTACCGACCCATAATGGCATCAATGACTGAGGGATAGGCATCCATCAGCACGGACCTCTTGTAGCCTGGTAGCCGCCGAGGGGATGGAGAAATCAGACAGTCCCAAAAGATCACCTTCATGCGGAGTCTGCCGCAGCTTGGGATTAGACATTGTCGGTGTATTCGGATATTCGGCTCGCAAGTCAATGCATGTCTCTTGCTGCAGTTGACTGTTGGAACCGCGCAACCTTCCTTCATGAAGTGCAAGCGCTGCCCGGTCAACGTCACTTATTGGTTGGCGGCGAGTGTATTGAAGCCCGTGTGGTTACCAAAGGCATCAGATAGCCATGAAACTTCCGACCCTAGATATATCTGTGATAGCGTTCTCAAGCGACATGGCCAGGCAGTGACTAGGCCGTGACGAATTCAACCGGCTGAACTGAACGGAGAAATTGGGCTTTTCCTTCGACAGGAAGAAAAGGATGATGATGCGAGTCACTTTAAATTCTCCTCTTCCTGCCATTTTTTTGCCTCGAAGTTCTCTCTTTCAATGAACCTCCATATCTCGCGTCGGGGATCATTCAATTCATTCATCTGCTGAGGTCTCCCCGGAACCTAATTAGACGTCTGGTAGGCCCTTCCGGGACATTCACTGAGCTACTATCAACCAGATCATGGGGTCCAGACTCGTCTGCCCGCTATGTGGGTCCTTCCTCGATCAAGATCGGCTGCGAAATGTCCCAGGACCCTGGCATTGGGGCATTCGCCTCTGGTCCACAGAAGTCCGGGGACTTTATGCAGTCGACGATGACACGGGCCGAATCGCGGTCACTGGGGTCGGCGTGATACGCAACCACAATATCCTTCACGCATCAGTCGACCAAGATCAAGCCTATTTCGACGTGGCCGACTTCAATGCCCTGGACCTATGGGTGATTCGGGACTTTTCAGTAAATCGGGGGTGTTTCGCATTCCACAATTCATGTTGGAAATTGCTTCTCCTGAGGCTCCGCCAAAGTAATGTCTTCATAGACGATGCGACCATCTTGAGGTCGGTCTTCGACCAACTCTACTACAGTCCTGCCCCCGAAGCCCCTGGTCCAGAAGATAGTAGTCAGTACTTTGGATTTGCTGACCCTTGTGCAATATTCTCTCTGGATGAACTCGAAAGCATAAGGCGCGACGAGCGAGGCCCTATTCCGCCAAGAGGTATGGAGCCGGGAAGTGACGACGAGCGACATTTATGCCATAACACCTGGAGTCAAGTAAGTGTGTTGGAGTCTGGGTACAATATTTTTAGCAGGCTACCGGATGAAATGCTGTTTGAGGTCCTTACATATTTAAGTTACCGTCTGGTCCAAAATATTAGACTCACATGCCGATATCTAAACTGGCGGGCAAGGAATGCCAAGCTCCCTCAGTCCTACTGGCGGAGTAGATTTATGCTCGGCCAGGAGTTTGACTTCATTTTCCCCGGCCTCCATACGTCACGGGACTGGTACAAGCTCTACGCCGGTACAAAAGCATATTCAAGGAGCAGTTCGCGAGCACTAGCCAATAGAAGGGAAATCTGCCAGCGATTGGAGCATATTGCGTCTCTAGTTGAATTAGAGCCTACTAAGCGGAATGGTGGGCAAGGGTTCAGCTATCGTCCGGAGAAATCTCGACGCAATATTCCTGTCTTGGTGGATATAGCGATCTCCACGGGAGATCACCTACGCGCAAAAGTCATGCTTTATTTTTCTGGCCATCTAACATCCGCCGAGGCACATTGTCCTTTGCAAGATGAATGTCCATTGCTTTACCGAAAGGCTCAGTCGCTGGTGGCTCTGCGAAATCGTCGTCAACTCCGAATTGGTATCTCGACTGTTAAACTTGGTTCAAGGCAATTCATATCCGGTATCAAACTGTTCCCGGCAGGTGATAGAAGTGGAATCAGTCATTCAATTGGCTACCCCAACCCAGACACTGAGGAATGGATTGACATACCTAGGGGCTCACATATCAGGGCTTTCGAAGTACATTTCTCCCCAGAAGGGCTCAGGGCAATTCGGATACTATGCGCTAATTTGGGAGAGTCTCACTGGGTTGGCAAGCCCGACATCAAAGGAACAGCTCGCGGCATACTGTCCATTCCAGGTGGAAAGGAGCCGTACTATCTGCTAGCAGGTTTGGATCGGTTCAAAATTGTTGCACTTGGGTTTGGCGAAGTGGCTAAACCCTATAAGCACGCTCCGAAACCACTCCATTCTTCCGCGGCCAACACGCTCCCTTCACGTGCCGATTCTCATCTGTGGATGCCACCTGTTTCACTGCGATGAGTTCATTCATCAGCCCCCTGCTCCCCTGCAGGCCCTCTGGGCCCTTTAATCCGCTATTGAATTTTGACTTCGGTGGCCGAAGGGGTCTTCGTCTCAGGGACTTAACAACTCTTGAATTCCATTTGAGATTTCACCGCCATCCACTTGTTGGGATGGTTGCACGCTACTCTCATGGCAATGTTGTGAAGTGTGGCGTCGTTGGCGAAAATGTGATGTCCTTTTTCTTAGATAGCTCGAATGGAGAGCGTATCACGCAAATAAGGGTTCTGAGAGATAACCGCTATCATACCCGAGCCGTTCGCTTGGTCGGGCTTGAGGTCCGTTCTACATCGTCTCCAAGGTTTCGCCACCATGCTGACCGCGGTCTAGGTCTCAACCAACTATGGACGGACTGCCACGTTTGCCCCGCTCTTCCATCGTCTCAATGCATCCGTCCGAACAATATCAGGTGTGCCACCTCGGCATACCATCACTGGAATTGTTGTCCAGCCAGCCGTATGTAGAACCCTCTCCATCCGTCTAAACAGCAGCTGAATAAAGACAGGCATACAGAAAGTATTTCGAACAACTCCGAATTCATTCTCAATTCTGCATCGCCCTACCCGCGATTCCGCACAATTTGGACCGCGAATGTCATCGGGTACCGGAGGATCAGATACAATATGATCTGATGTTGCACCACAATAGTAGCGAGAAGAACGATATGAAATGTTACCAAACTTATGCATCTCTCAAGGGAGTTCGCACAATCACCGCATCTACAGGCAATACGCACTATTCCCGCTCTAGGCATTGGATCACTGGTTTGAAGATTGAGTATTATAATCACCCCAGTCCAAATGTTGTTGGACAATGGATACGTCCACTACACGGTGAAGTCCTTGAATTGGATCCAGGTGAGGCAATCAAATCGATTACTGTATGGGTCGGTTTCGATAGTTTCATTTCCCAGTTCCCTGAGTTGAGTACAGGCAACATCGCAGCCATATGGATCGACGCGGGGATGCACTGGGCGAGGTTTTCCACTCCAATCTTCCAATCCGGCGCAGTCATACAGTCTCAATATCTACGTGACCCTGACAAGGAGCTGACGGCTATCTCATGGGTAGTCAGCGCGAAGTCGGATAGGGTTCGCGCAGTCATGTCCCCATACGGAAGCCAGAGACAGCGCACTCTCATGCCAACCTTGTCTCCTCCATATGACCGTGTACGGAAGCTTTACTTCAAGAGACAAGACGGCTCTTCCCGGGGAAGGAAGATTGTCAAGGCAGAAGCCTGTATCTATGGGGATGAAATCTCTGGACTGAGATTCACTTATCAGTCACGCAATCAAGCGGCCGTCGGTGATACACGTAGCGGTATGACCCGTCAGGTCGTGGAATTTTCCAGTACTGATATTATTATGGGCTTGTCAGTGAAGACGTCCGGTACTGCATTATTGGAGATTCAATTCGAGGTCGAACGGGACGGGACGCAGCGATGTTTCAGCCTCGGAATCCCCAATGATCAGAGATCGCAGTGTGACCGGCATCTCTACTGGGGTGATATACCAGCCAACGTTGAGACTGCAAGTGACATATATGAGCAGGAACCAATAGATAAGATTTATAAACCACCGAAAGATTCGAAGCTTATTGGGATCTATGTGGATTGTGACTGCATCTCTGAGATCGGCGCCATATACGAGCCTCAACGGTCGCAGTGAATGTGGAGGCAACTTACAAGTGCATTCGTGGCCACATATAACCTTGCTTTTTTGCTCATTTAGACGGCGTTAGACAAATGATGGTAGAACTTTGAAGCCTTTCAAGATCTTTAGTATACATCCCGGCATGTTGGTTACGTAACGGAGCCGAAACGGGAGATGTTGACGATATTGAGTACTTCGGAATGAGGAATCTTCGAGCGCTTCGTATATACTAAGTAAATAACCGCATTGAAGGAATGATTGGCTGCAAAATATAATGACGTCAGTAAGGGACCAATTCCTGCTGAAAGCGTGGACCACTAGCACTCCATACTCCATCAGCAATATACCTTCAGGCGGGGTGGTTATATATTTACCCTGAAATCCCGCAATCCATCGGAGATTTTGGCATCACCCCAAACTTCAAAGATGTAGAATGCGGGGACTGGGAATTTCAGCCTGACAAGCGGAGCCTGAATGTCCATAATGCAAAGTCGATGCTGGAGAGCAACATCTGGCCGATGGTGTCAGAGTTTTTAGCAGCGAATTACTCCTGATCTTTGACCAACATGAAACCTCGTGTTCGGCCGATAAACACCAGCCCCGAGACCAAGCAATGAACCCTGGCCGTGCTAAGGCCCGTCGCCTGTGCTCGTCGGAGGCCGAACCCTTGTGGTTAACTCAACCGGCATGGGGTACTATCCAATTCTGAAGGGGGTCAGAAACTAATTTCTAGGCATCACTCCACGGCGTCAGACAACGCGGATCCACCATGGTAAAGTAAACAAGATTGAAAGCGGGGCCGCCAGCCAGCAAGAATGCGCGGCATCCCAGAGCACTGATTGGAGGGCAATGGAATCAGTGTGCGGCCGAATAGAGCCGGACTGCTAAGCTCAACAGGTTGAGAGCGATCACATTATAGTGCTGCGTAATCTCATGGACGAGATATAGGGGGACTCGAGACGAGCCCGAACGAGATGGAATGCGAGATTATTAAGGGACGGGCCGATGAAGAGATGGACGGGAGTACCTCGGGGTGAGGAGGATATTGAGCGATTAAGTGGTGATGAAAAGGGAATATCGGCACCGACACGGCGAGCGAAAGTCGGAGGAACCACCCGCAATCACAGGATTGGTCCGGCTCTGGACACCGCCCGGGGCAGCTGGAGCCGAGGTCGGCGGAGATTCCCCCTCCAGTCATTTTCCCCCGACTGCCTCCGTCAATCAACAGGTAGACTACCTCGTCGGCTTGCAGACATCCAGGGGTCTTTTCTGCAGACTTACGCAAGGACTGCTACTCATCTCGCTTAGCCACGGATCGCCCTGGAGAATGTCTACACTATCTTTGCAATCTCGTCTCTCGACAGCGTGACGATTACCTACAAGATCATGTCACGCTCTTCTCCCCGAACCCGCACAACAACACCACGCACCACATTTGTAGCCATCCCCCGACAAAGTTTGCCAAGATGTAAATCAACTCCCTTGATTTGTGGGGATAACTCTTCTCCCGTCGCTCTGTCGATCCTCCTATAATGCAATCCTTCGTGCAGACCCGGCCAAGGGGCATACGCACTGCCCGTTGCTGGCCCGCTGGCACAACCTTTTCAGCAGCACCCACCATCGCAGCCGTTCACTCAAGATGGTTACTGTATCTTGGCAATCAACCTGAGTGGAGTAACACCCTGGAATGAACCACTTCTTAGGTGGTAGGAAGTGTACCAACCTGAAGAAACTAATGCCATATTGAATGTGGCTCCCGCAACTCGTCCCGAGCACCTAATTTGTCAGTGTCCAAGATGGCGTGGGAGGAGCAGGACATACAACGTCACCCCTTCGAGTCTAAATTCTCCGACTGAAGCTTGGTTCGATACATACCACGAAACACGAGATCTACATGTTAAGTTGCCCAAACCAGGAGAGATCGGCCTTCTCGTGCATCTCTTGCTTGATGGTGATTCGTGCCCTTGGCCGTTTACTCCAAACAATAATTTCCGAACAAAAATAGAGATGATCACGGAACCATAGCATCGTGAACATTATAAGTAGTGGCATCGCCAACGCTATCTCAGCTGCTTTCTGTATGACAGGCGGACTTCCAGAATCAGTTCTCAAACCATTCTTCTCTTCTTTTCTTGCAACTCCTTAGCATCTCTCTCACTATGAGAACCGCCCTCGGGGTCCTGGCCGGGGCCACGACCATTGTCCTATCCCAGGCAGCCAGTCTGGCGGATGTCTGTACTACCAGCCACGCCAAGTCGTCCTTGCCTAGCAGCGATGAGATTGAAGGTCTCGAGATCGACACTTCATCCATCACCGCTGGTGCTGTCTACAATGCTTCCACATCGGGTAGCTACTTCTTCCCGGCTGCTTCCTACAGCTACTGCAACGTGACCCTCTCGTACACTCGGCCTGGTCTTGATACCCCCTTCCTGTTGGAGCTCTGGTTGCCCGCTCCCGAGGACTACCAAAACCGGTGGCTGTCCACAGGTGGTGGTGGCTTTGCCATCAACTCTGGATCCAGCTCCCTGCCGGGTGGTGTGATGTATGGAGCTGCAGCAGGTATCACGGATGGTGGCTTCGGAGGCTTCGACACACAGTTCGACGCTGTCTTCCTCGAAGCCAACGGTACCATCAACTACGAGGCGCTGTATTCATTTGGCTACCTCGCCCATCACGAGCTCACCGTCGTCGGCAAAGCCTTCAGCCGTAACTTCTACAGCGTCGGTGACTCCAAGATCTACGCCTACTACCAAGGTTGTTCGGAAGGTGGCCGCGAAGGTTGGAGCCAGGTGCAACGCTATGCAGACCAGTGGGATGGAGCCGTTATCGGTGCTCCTGCCTTCCGGTACGGTCAACAACAAGTGAACCACCTGTACCCCGACGTGGTTGAGCACACTCTGGGCTACTATCCTCCTACCTGTGAGTTGGAAAAGATTGTTAACCTGACCATTGCGGCGTGCGATGCCCTGGACGGCCGTGTCGATGGCGTGGTGGCTCGTACCGACCTGTGCAAGTTGCACTTCAACGTTAACTCCACCGTTGGTGCTCCTTACTCCTGCCCGGCATCCACCTCCACGACAGTCCTCAAGAAGCGCACTTCGATGTCCAACACCACCCCCGCCCAGAACGGCACCGTTTCTGCTATCGGTGCCGCCGCAGCCAGCAAGATGCTCGACGGCCTGCGCACCCTGGACGGCCGCCGTGCTTACATCTGGTACCAGCCCTCCTCCACCTTTGACGATGCCCAGACCCAGTACAACTACGACACCGGAAAATGGGAGTTAGATATTACCTCCCTGGGCGGTGAATGGGTTGCCCGCTTCCTGGAGCTGCGTGATGCAGACAACCTCTCCAGCCTGGACAACGTCACGTACGATACCCTGAAGGAGTGGATGGAGCTCGGCTGGCAGCGCTACGAGGACAGCCTCCAGACCACCTGGCCCGACTTGACCCCGTTCCAATCAGCCGGTGGAAAGATTATTCACGTGCACGGCGAGTCCGACCCCAGTATCCCGACCGGTTCGTCCGTGCATTATCACGAATCCGTCCGCCAGATCATGTACCCCGGCATGTCGTTCAACGAGAGCTCCGAGGCTTTGAACGAGTGGAACAGATTGTATCTGATCCCTGGTGCGGCGCACTGCGCGTCTAGCACTACCCAGCCTAATGGACCCTTCCCGCAGACCACCCTCGAGACTCTGATCCAATGGGTCGAGGGAGGCGTCTTCCCGACCCGCTTGAATGCCACCGTGCTGGCTGGTGAGCGTGAGGGTGAGCAGCAGCAGTTGTGCGCGTGGCCCTTGCGTCCCCTGTGGAAGAACAACGGCACCGTCATGGACTGCGTGTTTGATGAGGAGTCGTATAAGACTTGGGTTTATGATTTTGATGCGTACAAGCTGCCCCTGTACTAGTGCTGTTATTTTTGATGGCGCATGTGTATGATATACTCTACTTCTAGCTTTCTTCGATGATAATATTTACTGGACGCAATATACGTTCACGATTACACTATATCATTGTTGAAGACAATAAGGTCCGATTTATTTGCCATTGTAAAATAGGAGGAAGTAGTGGAGTTTAGTTTCCGAGCCAGCTTGATCGTATAATGACTACTATGAGACGTGCCTATTTCATTGCTAATCTCACAACCATCAGCCATACACTCATAACACTATGTCTAAGCATCGTATAGCCCTGCACTGATTAATCGGTTCATTTCCCCAAGACCCTGGCAACGATCGCAGTATCCCGCAGGAGCTCCTCCTCGTGCATTGTTCTTCCCATGAGCTGCACACAGCACGGCGCACCCTCCACGTCGTCCGCAACATCTGCAAAGCGTCAGAACAGTCTTGGTATTCTACTTGAGAATAACTTACAAGGCGGTCGGTAAGTCACATCCCTGACATACTTGGCGTCATCAGCCTTATCCGCCTTTCTGTAGGGAATAATCGTAGCCGGATACTACACTTGTCAGCCGAGTTAACATGGTCCAGGGGTGAGTCGGCATACATCCAAAACATTAGCCAAAACAGTATACGGTACCCATCCGACCTGATCATGTGCCACCGCTGTGCCCTGATACCCCGGCATAATGATCGCGTCAATCTTGTTCTGGACGATCAACTGTCGGAACTGCTCACACAGCGTCTCCCGCTGCACATTCAGATCATAAAGGGACTCGAGGGTATGCGGGGCCCATTCAAATGGCAAATCCATATTTGGCAGGTCGGTAGTTCTCAGAGCAGGGATGCGTGGCTCGCCGCTCTTAGTGATGTGGCTGAATGCGGTTCGTGCCGGGTCCATGGCGAAGGTTCGGAAGCCGAGAAGGAGGGCGTCTCTGATAGATGGGGTGGTTAGGTTGATGACTTCGTGGCCGGCGGCTTTCAGGGCATCGACTGCGCGAGTCAGCGTGTTGAGAATGGGAGGGTGCACGGGGAAGTGCGGGTCTTCGAGGATGAAGCCGAATCGGAGGGTCTCCTTCGGAGGGGCGGTTCGCCAGGTGCTGAAGATGGTCGAGGAGTCGTATTGCCAGGGGTCAATGTCTACGACTGTTTTCATGAATAGACCGAGGTCTCGCACGGAAGTGGCTAGTGGGCCGGCACAGGGTCGGATGCCCGCTAGACCCTTGCGGCCGGATCCTGTCTGGCCTCCGTAGGGAATGCGATGGATAGATGGGCGTAGGGCATATGTTCCGTCGAAGATCCCAGGGATGCGGATGGAGCCTGCAATGTCGGTGCCTACACCCAGGATTGATCCGCGCATGGCAATCAGAGCGCCTTCGCCACCTGAGGAGCCGCCGGCGCTGAGGTTGGTTCGGTTGGGGTTGAGGGTGCGACCAAAGACGTAGTTGTGGGAGTCGGCGGCCTAGTCATGATGAGCATCCGGCAGTTGTAATATAAGAAGGGGCTTATACCATCATTGTCTGGGGAATGTTGGTCTTGACATAGAGAACCGCGCCCAGGTCAAGGAGGATCTGGACAACAGAGGAGTTGTTCTTCACGGGACCGTGGGCGATGAAGGCAGTGAAGCCAATTGTGCTTGGAACACCAGCAACATTGAAGCAATCCTGATAACATCAACATCCATGTCCTTATACCTCGTGGCTGCGATGCCTACCTTGAGACTGATGGGCAGCCCGTGCAGCGGCCCGCGGACCTTTCCGGTAGACTGAAAATACTCGTCCAGCTCCTTTGCTCGCTCTAAAGCAAGATCAAAGAATGTCTCAGTCAGACAGCGCGTCTATATCCGACCGTTAGTTTAACGATCATGATCAGTTAGTGAGATATTATCCCACCACTTGCTGTGCGATGGCCGCCCGAAGGCAAAATGCTTCGGCGACTTCAACAGCGGTCAACTTTCCGGAATGGATCTGCTCGAGCAAGGCCGTGGCGTCGAAATTCTCAGTAATTTCCAATTGCTTAGCAGACAATAAGCCACACTTGCGAGGCACATCGAGCACATTAGTAGAGGCTGTTTCGGACACATTTGCCGTGAATTCAGCCGGTAGCCGCCATGCCTGGGGAATCTTAGCGGCTGCGTCGGCCTGTTTCTTTTGCACAATCGTCTCCCACTGTTCGACTGCCATGGTGTTTTGACAAAGGGGGGATATAAATCTGATGTTATGAGGATGGCTCGGATTGGGAAGAGAGACCCATGGATTTTATGGCTCGGGAAGGAGAAGAGCCGAGGATTTCTTGCTACTACAACCCCGCGCGGGGTACCGGAGACGATGGATGGGAGATCCTTTCCCCTTCCTGAAGCTACACTTCTGCCTAGCTGACTGTTCATGTGAAGCATTGATTGTAAGAGGACATTGGTCGATAAGCACACCAGCACTGCGAAGCACGACCTGTTCTCGACTCACCGAAGTGGTGAAGCAAGGCAGTTGCTGATGTGCTCGGGTTTCGGGAAGGAAATCCGAGCTGATATCATCCAAGCCAGCCATTTGCTGAAACAGACCGCCAGACTTGTTACAGGGCAGGAACACATCTTTGAAAGATAATGTTATACATCAAGTTCCATCTTCATAAGTAATAGCCATAACTCTTGGGGTTCGGGCCAGCTTTCTCAAATAGTTCTGTTATACATGCATAACGGTGAGTGTTCATGCAGAGATTTGCGCTTGCGTCCATCTTTCTCGTGCTAATCAGAGCCCCCGACTCCGGTACATGTATCTTCTGCCTTTAGAAGAACGCAATGGGATTCGGGGCAGTTCCATCCACGGCTTGCTGCACGTCATAATGTTCCACTAAACATGTCCCCACCATGCGGATCATGTCGACCAAGGCGGAGTTGGGAATCCCCATGGTCGCATTGCCAGTAACCTTGGTATGAGCAGTTCCATAGGCGGTGCCATTCTTATCCCATCCGACAAACACATGCTGCAGTTGAGAATCCACGTTGGGGACGATGCCTGACAATTCGCCCAGGGTGGTATCTATGCCGTTCGCAGACACGAGGGGCGAATGATTGATGTAGCCGGTCGCGACATATTTGGTGAAGGCGTCAGTGAGGCGCTTCTCGGTGTAGAGCAGATTGGTAAAGTCGTCCCAGGCGGCGAGCTGTTCGGCTTGGGAGGCCTGCGGTTTGGTGGTGTCGGGGCAGCCGAGCGCAGTAAACTCATCGGGGCCCTCGGCCCCGACCCCCTGAGCCGCCGTCAGGATGCTTAGGGACACAAGCCCGGTGACAATGGCAACGATGCGCATGGCTGATAGATAATGAGAGGCTCAGTGTAATTCTGGAAGATGCGCAGGGAATAGCTACCCTGCACGCAATTGTGGGGAGACACGAGGCATTAAATAAAGCCTGAGGAATGTTGTGTTTCTTGAGTGCTCGTGGTCGGTATGTGGCCGCGTCCAGGGCACGTTCGGGATAAATGTTCTTTCCCTTGGCCCTGCTTTGGTCGAAAATGACTCTAGACTCGCAAATGCCAGCCAAGGGATCATCTTTGAGTGCCACTGTCCTGGCGCAATCACGCATCATAGACATTCATTTCCCAGTCCAGGGCATTCTGGCCATTTTGGCAAGGGACCCGGAAACTTGTGTGTGTCGAGGGTGGTATTTACTGGTTACATTGATGATTAGTCTTTCAAAAGCGGCAAAGTGTCGAACTGAACAGGCTCGTCGGTCAAGATGGTCAAACCGACAGACTAAATGAACGATGGATGGTATGGCGATGGCAAGAATACATACGATTAGGCAACCACCAGTGGCAGCCTAATGTTGGCTTGGCTTAAATTCCGCGGTCGCAAAGCCGAGTTTCTAGACTTGCCTCAGAATGCAAGTTGATTCACTTCCTCCACATTGCAACTGAAATGCATTTGCACCACCACCAACTTCTTTTTATGGTTTCAACCACCTTTACCACAGTCACAGTTGGCGGACAAAGCTCCCTCCCGGAGCAGCTGTTCCTCGATTTGCCCGTCGCGGAAGTGCTCAATCGAACATCCGGGGATCTAGTGGAACCATGGGCCACCGAGTACTGCACTGCCATTGCAGAGCAGCGATATGGAGACGCCATCTATGCCCGGTACAACATCTTTGGGGAGGCCAAGGACGGCATGCTGACGTTGTGGGACTGCACCCATGAAGGGCTGTACCATGAATGGAACATCACCGTGTATGAGCAGATCATGGAGGATGCTCGAGAATACTACGAGGAGGATCTGGACCTTTACCAAGAAGCACTGGAGTTTTATAGCAGCAATAGTCCCAACGACTCGCGGCCAGACATCATCGAGGCTCTGAACACTTTGATGAACAAGGGGTCAAACGGACTTCAGACGCTCGCACATTCTATCCCTTCCACTCACAATTGAAGCTTGCAATCACTCAATCATGTCCATCTCATTACTGTTGGTACGTTCACCTCGGTCCAGGGTGTAAGACACTGCTAAGGGAGGAATGATACAGCATTAGATATTATATTAAGAGAAGGATCTTGGTGTTTTTTTTTTTTTTTTTTTTTTTTTTCCCAAGGTAGTTGAATTATAATGTTAGATATAGAGGAAAGATACAATTATTAGAAGGAAAAACAGAGTAGAACCTAATATTTATTTCTCTTCTTAATTAGGTTATTCAGATAGGCACGCTGCAATGTTCCTCTTTCGGAAGATGATATTCTTAATACTATATAAAAAATATAGTGTAGTAAAAGATATAGTAAACTAACTAATATGAACTAAATCAAATCAAAGAAGTAATAAAAGAATAACCGAAAAATGAAGACTCTGTGAGGTCTGTAGCATAATAACCTATGAGAAGAAATTAATAACAGAAAAAAATAATATGACTAAAAAATAACTGAAAGTGCGGATATGATATCTGAGGTGGTTAACAGCCCGGTCAGTTCAGGTTGGTAGAAAATTTTATACCTGCCAGTATGATGGAATTTTGTTCAAGCAACTGGGACTATACGGTAGGCCACAGGCGCAAGGTGGGGTACCGTCCAGATGAAGACTTGCCGTATACAGTAATCTTGCCGTACGAATTGTAACCCGATTACTGAGTTGAGTAAGTGGGCCTGTACCAAGAGAAGCGCAGCTGCCGAATCGGTAGTGTCATCACCAGCGCGGCGTGGACTGGTTTTGGCAGTTCCTCGGATGATTACCGGAGATAGCCCTGATCTTTCCTCACCTAGCATCGCGGCTTAATTTGTGACGGTTTATTTAAGACCCCTGCTAAGCGTTTGCATTCTCTGTCTACATTCATCTACTGCGTGCTGTATAGTTTGTTGCCGAACATGAGTACCAAGCCCTCCACCAACATCAAGGTCGTCTTTGGCGCCATGACCGTGGGCCAGGCCGGTGAGTGCATCGTGGCACATGTTTTGTCCTCCCTCGCCACTCCTATACTAATCGCAAACTTATAGGCCTCAGTGGTTGCCGCCAGACCAATCAAGCAGAAATCAAGGCCGTCCTCGATGTCTTCCAGAAGCACGGACATACTGAAGTAGATACGTCTCGAGCATATGCGAAAGGCACCTCCGAGGAGCTCCTGGGCCAGAGTCAGTGGCAGACCCGGGGACTCCAGCTAGCGACCAAAATCTATCCGACAGCCAACACAAGCATGCCTGGGGACAAATACACCTTAAGGGCAGCCGATCTGCGCCAAGCTCTCTCTCAAAGTCTCGAGGCCCTCCAAACCGACTCAGTCGATATCTGGTACCTCCATGCTCCGGACAGGACAACCCCGTTGGAAGAGACTATGCGAGCAGTCGATGAGCTGTATCGGGAGGGCAAATTCAAGCGGCTTGGACTGAGCAATTTCATGTCTTGGGAGGTCGCTCGCGCCTATGACCTATGCGAGCAGAACAACTGGGTGCGGCCTTCTGTCTACCAAGGGATCTACAACCCATTGCACAGAGCCATTGAAAACGAGCTTGTTCCCTGCCTACGTTTCTACAAGATTGCCCTGTATGCTTTCCAACCTTTGGCGGGCGGTCTCCTTACCGGCAGATACCACTTTGAAACGAACGACTTCGAGCAGGGCTCGCGCTACAATCCCGATAACGGCTCGAGCTCGACAATGAATGCGCGATACTGGAACAAATCGTGCTTCGCCGCTGTCAGCATAATCGAAGAAGCTGCCAAACGTCACTCCCTGACCGTGTCCGAGTGCACATACCGTTGGCTGGCTCACCACTCCGTGTTGAAGGATGATGACAGGGACGCATTGATCATTGGGGCTAGCCGGCCTGATCAGCTGGAATCAAATCTGGTGGATTTGGAAAAGGGTCCCTTGCCAGATGATGTTGTCGAGGCCATCGACCACGCTTGGCAAGCGATTCAAGACCCTGTACGAAAGTATTGGCATTGATCACTGCCGATGCTATGTTCAAGCTCGGGAATGACGGAGGACATGTTCGTTCAGGTTCATGTATAAGACTAGTACTACACTCTCATTAGCTCACTACAATGATCTATTATGACCACTAAGTATTTTGATCAGGCAGCAGCATTTCTAGGTGACTAGCGGGATTTAGACCGGCATGTCCATGACTCTACATAGCTGTGATTAAGACCAAACGCTAGCCTTGGTAAAGGAGGATGTTAGATGTAAAGGAATGTCAAAACTGTGCAATGTGTGACAACCGAGTTTATGCGGATCTCCGTCACGATTACTTACAGTCCTATATGTCACAGCTCTATATCCCGCCCTAGCTCTGCATACTCAGTCTGGTACAACAATGTGATGCTACACTATCCCACTGTCAGAAACCATCTTAACAGCTGACCGACCTTGAAGCCATGCAGTCGGGCAACGCCGAGACGCTATGGTCGGGTTATTATGTTGCCAAAAAGCATTGCTAGGTGATATGGTTAAATAGATTCGGATACCACCAAACGAAGCTTGCCCATTGATTAGTGTAGCCACTCATTGAACCAGTGGACCGCCGCTCGCTTTGCCCTCGCGAGCTCCGCTTTCTGCAACTCGTCGTTCAGATCCGCTCTGACTGCCAATCGATGAGACATTTTGGGAAAGTAGACATATTCATAGGGCAGGCCCAGCTCCGGAATTACACGGTTGCAGAATTCCTTCAGCTCTGGAGTCAAACGATGATCATGTTCTGGCGCCAGAATCTGGGCAGGAACGCGTCCCGCAGCGATCTCTTTCTCGGTCAATAAGGTTGGGTGTGCCGTGGACATACAACTCAACAACTCTGGACCGCGTGCTGCCAGCTGGAAGACGGCCCAGCCGCCGTAACAGAATCCGATGGCGCCCACTCTGGGATACGCGGATTTCAGAGCTTGGGAACACGCGAGGATGTCCGGGAAGCGTTGGTCTTTCGTGTTACGCTCGATAAAAGCAGGCACATTGAAGGCCTCCCTCTTCTCTGGGTCGTCTAAGATCTCGGGTGGGACATTCTCGCCACCAAAACTAGTGGTTCACGGATTAGCCTGGTGAGCACATACTTTTGGGTGGAGAGGGGTAGGTAAATAATCATGGGGAGGTAGGGTAGGCTACAAATCCGGGAGGTAGACGGTGGCATTTGCTTCTTGGGCATAGTGATCAGCCAGAAGCCGCGCATTAGGCAATGTCCAACCAAAGATATCGTGGATCATCAAGATCGCGGCTGATTTGGAGTCGCCAGTCACATACGTGGGGTTGCCGTTCAGCGTGATTTCGGAGCCCACCGGGGTTCCTTGCCAACGAAACCCTGACTTGCAGGCGTCGCAGGCCATCATTTGATGACGTGAAATGGTGTAGGTACTTAGGAGGATGACAAGCGAACAACTAGATGGCCTAGACTGTTAAGCGGTGGGCTCTCATGGGAATCTACAAATACTGAGAGTCCAAGACTAAGACTGACAATTTGTGAGCATGACGGCATCTGTGGGCGAAAGAGACAGCCAAGCTCGCCCGGCTCGACAATAGACTCACTTTGGCGTCGAGCGGCCAGGATCGGGGGGGAATGGGCAAAGCTTCTATATGAGGAAATTCCGTACTCGTTCAAGGTTCCCATTTTAAGCTAGGTGGGCCACCTAATTGGAATTCTTTGGATTTAGCAGGTCGGAATTGAAATTGCAGCGGGTGGGTTAAGCCTAATCCAAAATACCTGGGTTAGGTGCAGTAACGATAATTCTGATAGAAATCTGTATCCTATATTTATGACACAGGTGACTGGCTTAGTCTATCTGTACTGTAGAAATTACTCGATCTTGAAAAGAGAAAAAAGAAAGCAGAACTCTTTCCTACTTTGTGCCTTTGATAATTTATGTCAGCTGTATGTTAGATCTCATTCGATATATAGATTTTTTGTTTAAGTAACTTCAGCGCAAATGTCATGGTAAAAACTAGTATAAAAACTACAACTTTAGACAATTGATAAAAAAGAATATTAGTTCTTTTTAAAAACTATGCCATAAATTTTCTCATAATCATGTCATGACAAGTCGTTCAAAGTTCTGACGGCTCTGCGGCCTCAGGCTGCACACTCAGCGCCCACCTTGGTGGCTTTAGCTAGTTCCTCAGATAGCCTCACGTACTCTGAATTTATCCATCATCCATCTCCCAGTGCTCTTGTCAAGTTGATGCGATTTATATGTTGGGAAGCACTGCGTACCTGTTTTGGTCCACAATTAACATTTGCGACCCTCAGATTATCGACCCGCTCAACAAATCAAAACCGACAGCTTGGGTACTAGTAAGGTCCCAATCGACGAAGTGGTTGACATCGAGCTCTGGGTTAAGGTATCCGCTGTCTTCAGGAGGCCATTCCGCACCTGCAGCGCTACCAGGTACCTGGACTGGTCTGCTACGCTGTGGGTCAAGGATCGCATCGAGCAGCCGGGTGAACCTCTCTTGGATGGTTTGCGCGAATTCGAAATGACCCGACTCCGGCTTAACAGCCCATTCGAGACACGAGACGAACAGAATGAGGTCGCGGATGGTATCCGACCGGGAAGGTCGTCCACACGGTATGCTCGGATATTCCACGGGAGTATGAAGCAGATCTTGCAATAGTACTTCTGCGGTGGGGAGTCCAAAGGGAAGAAGCTGGCAGCGGCCCATCAGCATGTTTGCCGCGAAGAATCGTGATTTTTAACCCACCACACTGCCCAAGTCACTACGGATCTCTCGTAGGCGCTCGCGCTCTTTGTTAAGTACCAGAATGGTTGACAGGATATCTTTGGCTACAGACAGCAACGGAGCGGGGGACTCGGAGGGACACTTTTGGGCCCGGAGCCGTTGAATTAAGAACAACGAGTAGCGATGTTCCAAGTGGAGAGCAAAGATGAACCAGATGGTTTGACGTGGCATGGGTCTTGTCCATAGCTGCGGGGAATATTGTAATCGAGGAGAGCAGGACTCCCAGAGGGACTGGAGCTTGCGGATTAACTGTCTGCGAAACTGTTAGTGCAGTATCCAGAGGACCAGTAGTAGCAAAAGCGAGGGGGCTGAGCCTAAGACCGGTAATAAATCATACTCTGATTTTACAGAAACGTCGTGAGTCGCTGTTCCGAGGTGAAGCTCGAGAATCTCCTCACGAACAATGGACAGGAGGTAACGAACACGGAGGTAGCCTGGCGGCTCCGGTTGATCATTCCCGCTCTTTTCATTACAATAGACCTCGTCGAGCCTCTCCAGTGTTGGGTGGCTTGGATCTTCTATCACGCCGCGTAGCTCAACGACTGGCTCTATATTGCAGTAGTGGCGATTGAGGAATGGTGGTCTCCCGAAGAAGGTGGCAAAGATTTTGTCCATCGAATAAACAATGGCGAAACATCTCTGGCGCCATGCACTGAGAAATTTGGGATATTTGTCACCAGACCCCCTGTGCTGGTGCATGCCCGTGGCATATACAGCAGACGTCAGCTCCCCAAGAGCATAATAAATTCGCTGATCTGGCATTTTGCGAAGTCAGCTCAAGCACCAGAAGTGTCTCAGATGGCGGGCCGGTAGCCACACACCGGTATTGCCCCAGAGCTGAGACATAAGCAACATGTGGTTATATTTCAGACAGACCACCAGCTCATTGCACAGTGGGAGTCCACTGCAGAGAAATATCGCCCGATTCGTCACTTCTCGGAGTCGAGATAGAATCTGCGCCGGCGTGGAGCTAGCTGACGGATCCAACAGTGTCGCCTCCGATTCGGGAATATGACACAAGCACAAGCAGGCCATCACTAGGACGTTCCCAATAGTCTCCCACCGGACATTGACCCCAGTAATCAAGGAGCAAAACTGCTCCACCCCAATGGGCTTGCCCGAGGGCATGGGCTTGTATGAGTTTTCAAAGATGTGAACCGCACATCTCGAATTCAAAGGATCGCTCTGGACGGGATCCTCGCTGAGTGCCTCCCATAGGCTATCTAGTACACCTCGCATGATGACTTTCGGGATGATCACAAGTCGGCCCAGCGTATACATCCGGTCGACCAGTTTGCGGATCAAGGTGGCGTGCGCATTTAGATAGTCAATGATCCTTAGACCCTGCTCCAGGCGCTCCAGTTCGACCGTCAGGGTTCCTTGAGCGTCCGCCGCTCCCTCATGTCCCATACTTTGAGCAGTATTTACAATGATGCGCGAATGTGCGGCGTGTTGCACCTCAGCCCGATAGCTGGTCGGCCCCAGGAAGCCCGTGTCTGCTGAGGCCACTGTGTGGATTGTGATGCCCTGTGCCGGTATGTCTTCTCGGGGTGGGGCAAATGGCGGATCTGCGCATGGCCTTCTGCGCGGATTAGTGACTACGCAATCACAATACAAACCATTGGAGCGGGTAGGAGCCCACGAGACAGTATATGGGGCACTGGCATCCCCTTTTGTGATCCGAAATTTGTTTGTCCCAGGTGTACGGCTGTACAAGCACATAGTTCCCCTTCGAGAACACCGACCACAGGACGGCGTCTTATAATCGCATTTGACCTTCGTCTTCTGACAGGCTTCGCACGACTTCTGCTTTCCATTTCCGCGCGCGAGGGTGGTTGCTCGATCAGCCATGGCGCGAACAACCGCTGAACAACAAGGTGATTACCGGAGCGCGCAAGAGTGAAAGCAGGAACAAAACAGGAATTTCCCGAATGGGCGGCTCCCGCTAGAAGTATTGCAGCAAAGCACCGGAATTATCGGCCTTAAGCTAAAAAGCCGGAATGTGTCGTAGTCGTTTTGACTTTTGTAATAGGAAGTGTATTGGCTTCCCGAGAGTGGGGACTCGGTTTCACTTCCCGGCCGCTTGAGATCATCATTGCGTTGAGTGCTCCCCAGAGCTTACCCATACAAAGCGAGATTGTCTACCAATGTAAAATTCAAGAGCGTGCTAACCGAATAGTTATGATAAGAAACGCAACACTAATGGCTTCAGCCTACCGCATAAGTACTCATAGCGCGAAGTCGCGCGCTGAGCTTCCAGAGACCAACCGGAGCTTTCCTGCGCCTTGACTATGAGCAGCTTAGGTGCATAGATCTCCTCCTAGTAGAGGAAACAATGCAAGCTGTAGGAGACCATCGGCGATCGATGTGGTATAGAAAATCCATCTCCAAGAGATATTCGCGACGATGAATTCCCCGGCTATGGGTCCAACCGCCGGTCCCAGCAGCGGTGCCAAAGTATAGATTGCCATGGATGTGCCACGCTGCTCCGGGGAAAACAGGTCTCCCAGTATGCCCACTGATCTAGAAAGCAATTTCGACAGTCAGCACATGGAACTTCGTTTTTGATCTGTAGGTTCTTACTGTTAGTGGTACACTGCCTCCGATCCCTGCCAAGAACCGAAAAGCTATCATTTGGGCCTTGGTCTGAACACACTGCAGACGATATTGAAGATAAGAAATATCATATTTGCACATGGAGGACGGGGACACGGCCGTACACTTCCGAGAGGGGACCGGAAAACAGTGGACCAATGGCAAAGGCAAGAATGAATACCGACAGCATAAGTTGTGACACGATTTGATTCTCAATACGAAAGTTCGTGGAAATTCGTCCGAGACCGGGGGCCATCATCGAGGATGATATGGATGAAATGAAGATGTAACAGGGAACCATGATGGTAACCATCCATTTACGTTCTATCTTCCAGTTCCTGGTTTGTTGCTTGTCCTGGGTGCTCCCCCAACCCACCTAGTCGGCACGTGGGCTCAGCACGCTAGAACCACGGCATTAGATGCAGGGCAACAACCACATACTACTCGCTGGCAGGATGGTAGGACCGTGGCTATCGTCAACGCCAAGATTATAGACCACGAGTTAGGGTACGGTGTATATATAATACAGGACTTATTACCGTAGTTTTAGTGCGCGCCCCACTAGATTGGCGTTTGCTGGGCCAAGACGGAGATATCCATGGACTTAAAGACAAGGTCCTCATCGATCGGAATTAAGATGTCATCATCATCGACCCACCGAAGCATGGCTACGCTACGCAGAATGTATGCTGCAAGAATTGCTCCTATATAGTCCCTCTACAGCATATTTGACTATTCACAAGATCCTCTCACCTCATCAAACATCAACAACCCCAAACCAAGCTCATCAGCCCGCTCCCCCTCCAAAATGCCCTCACCTCAAGCTCCTCCACCTCTCCCAGACACCCGCCGCATCATCACAACCCACAACGCCTCCCGCTCCGCCACTATCGCCATCAATGAACACAAAGAACCCACCGCCCTCGAGGACGGAACGTACCTTAACCCCCTCTGGTCATCCGACGAGCTCCCCGCCACGATCGACCAGGACCCAACCAAGATCCAGCCCGACCCGGCCGCCGCGACAACCGGTGGCTCCGTCTTCTGCACCTACGATCTGCCCCCGAAATACGAGGGGCCGATGCATCGCTCCATCACCCTCGATTATATCACCGTCACCCAAGGCGTGGTCAAGCTGAGCACGGACGATGGGTCCACGGTGACGCTGCGGCCGGGCGACACGGTCGTGCAGAGGGGCACCATGCACAAGTGGGGGAATCCGTCGGATGAATGGGCTAGATTGACTTCGGTAATGGTGCAGGCGAGGCCGGTGGTGGTGGATGGTAAGGAGATGGAGGCTGTGTGGCCGTTTTAGTTTCTTCATTGTTGCAGTGGTGAGGAGGTGCTGGCTGGCTTGCTGAGTGATTCAGGCTGGGGGCTTGTACGAGGATATGAGCGATGTGGTGGTGCCTGTTTCTACTGTTGTGATGGGTTTGTGTGGAAGGCGTATTGGGACTGATTTTGTCTACTTCAAGATAATTAGAAGTGGTTTGTTTTTCTTTTTCTTCTTCTTTTCTTTGAAAATTGATTTACGAACCAAGTCCTGTCATCCCTTAGCCTAGGGGAGTTCATTCATGAGTACGGCCAAAGCCTGGCGAGTATCTCCCTGTGTTTCGCATTCTACCCCAACGCAATGACCGCATTCCTGAAATGCCCGTTGCGTCTCTGAGCTTCTTCGTAGTGCTCACGCAGAACCATGCCGCCCAGAGGGAGGAGCCCTTGGGGCTGACGTCCACCGCCTGGACTCTGTAGTAGAATTATTTTGGTCTGTTCTGGTCTTGATTTCAGGCCGCCCTGAAAGTATATGCAACCGTGCTGCGCAGCTGTCAATAAGAAGTTTAGCTTATAAGACAAGGAAGAACGGACAGCCAGCGATAGCGTTAGTATCGGTATAGCTTGGCTTCTTCAACAGGGATTTCTGCTCATCCAATCTTAATAGTGATACAATGTACTCGTATAGCTGTGGCGGAAAATTGCGGAAGTACCTTCGTCTTGCTCCAGTGCCCTTAACAGTGGTGGTGTTATATAACTCCGGCTGAGTTGACACTTTCCAGTAAGGAAAGAGGCTCTGATCAACTTCCCAGAGCATATAAGAAGACGAGCAGTGGATAGGTACATAACAGATAGAATATCACTGGTTTCAATAGCTGTGGTTCTTCACGTCGGACAGTTACTGCAGGGGTAAAAAAAAAAGAATATAGGACAGGATCTGCATCAGGGGTGGGGAAATGTCCTCCTATTATCTGATGTGTCAAATATTTAGGATAGTCAGGTGCACCAGATAAGGCGTATTTAACTGGCTGTAACAAATAGCTCTGAATCTATAAGATTTATTGAGCAAGCTAGAGCTTAATCTAACTGCCAGCGGGCCCGAGCGATCCCGACGCTAGCGGGCGAGCCCTGCCATGTCTAAAATATTAATATTTAATTAAATATAACTGGTAGATCTTGATACCGAAATAGGAAAAATAAGAAACTATTTTATGCTTACCTATACTACAGCCAGTTATAAAATTTCCGTTAACCTGATTGTTAATCTGACAGCAGGTATAGACTTTTCTCTTGATCTGACCTGACCTGGCCGTTAACCACTTCAAATATACTTCTCCCAATTCACAGAGAAATGAATCACGTGCACCTGACTGGTTAGGAAACCTCTTCCGGTGGAGCAAATCGCCCCACTCGGCAACTCTTCCACTTTTTCTGCTGCTTCATCCTTCATGTTTCAGCTTGTACAGCAATTTCCAGGTATTTTACATCCCTCCAGCATGACCGATAACCCGCCTCTGAGGGCCAGTCCTGCCATCAAAGTCACGAGCGCGTGTCAGCGCTGTCGACGGCAAAAGCTAAAGGTCCGCTGAAACGAGTAAGCCTGGAACAACCGATCGATCCGCTCACATCTCGCCAGTGCGACATCCAACGGCCTTGTACCCTTTGCACCCGCGCCGGGGTCCGCTGTCTTCCCGGTTCGGCGACCCGCTGGCGACCCTATCGGCATCCGCAGGATAAGCCTGCAACACCACCGGTCCGAACGCTAAACGCAAGTGCCTCGACACGCCATGCATGTTCGCCCCACCTCGATCCTGACCAGCATCCCCCCGAGGCTTCAAGTCCAGGATCACCATCACACCGAAGAGATCGTGATTGGATATCAAGCTCCACTATATCCCTTCTAGGCGGAGTAAGGTCCCTGAAGTCACTCACACCATGGGCCACCCTAACAATCATTCGAATAGGCATTCAGCCTTCACAATGTGGCCGCACCGGGGCCTCCTGCAACCAACGCACTCCCGGGAGCCCCTTTGCGTGAACCAGGATCTGCTTCCCCCAGCATTGAGGTTGAGACATCTGACCTTCCCTCCTCAACTGCACTCGCGCCTTATGATCCGTCCTCTTCCGTTTTGGATGTTTTGATGTCTCTACTGCCCAACTTTGATGCGGCCAGCCTTCTCGTAGATACGTATTTTGATCGAGTGCACTGGTTCATGTTGATCTTCTATCAAGATGAGTTCCGTCAACGGTGGCCCAAATTATACGGTCGCTCTACTGAGAGGCCTCTGACATACGCCCACCGTCACCTCGGCTTTCTTAGCACCTTCCTGATCGTAATCGCCATCGGGCTGCAGTACGCCGGGCCTTACCGACAAGGGATTCTCTCGAGACATGGGGTCGACATTAACCTAAGGGATCGCATCCTCTCTACTGTGAGATCGGGGCTTCTTGACATAATGTCCCTCGGCTCTTTAGAGGCAGTCCAAACCTGCATTTTACTGGGTACATATTATTTATATCATGGTGCTCCACGACTGGCGTGGCCGGTATGCGGATGTGGGCTTCGTATCGCCCAAGCTCTACATCTACACCGCCGACAGCACCCCGTTCAATCGACTGATTTCCGAACCCGCAATGAGACTCGCAAAAGATGCTGGTGGGCAGTGTATGAGATTGAAACCTTCTCTGCCGTGGCATATGGCTATCCGCACAGTATCCGTGATGACGATTGCGACGTAGAACCGTTAGATCCATCAGCCAAGCTTCAGACTATGCAGTCTCCTGGTTCATTCGATGAACCTCTGAAGTCAGATCCAACGCTACTCTCCTACAAGTACTTTATAACCAAACTATCTACCATCACCAAAGGAGCCTTGGATGATCTGTATCGCGTTCGCTCGCATCCAGCTAGCCGATCTCATACACATTCACCGGATATTCAAAGAATCGTTCAAAAGGTCGCCGACTACGACAACCGACTCCGCCAGTGGGAAGCAGAGATCCCTTCCCCACTCCAGTGGCGCTGTGTTGCTCACCATTCTCATTATGCCTCCGCTGAAGAAGTCGATCGCGCTATTGGAGCCTCGGGGCCTCGCTTCGAGAATCACATCTATCAACTCCAAGCTCTCGCTCTGTGGCTTGCCTATCAGAACGCACGCATCCTCACACATCGTCCTCTTCTTTCCTACACGCTCGCCACTAGAGAGCGAACCAGTAAGTACAATGATGAGGCTGCATATTCAGTCAACCCATTCAGCGCCTCTTTGAACGCCTGTCGTGATGCAGCGCTCCGCATGTCGGAGATCCTATCCAGTCCGCTATTAGAAGTGGTTTCGGAGACCTATGCGGCTTCATTCGTTAGCATTCACACATTTACAGCAGGCGTAACCCTTGGCATTCTCAGCAGCATGGATCCTCTGGGTCCACACTCTACTGAGACGAAGTCCGGGCTCCGCAAACTGATCGGCATTCAGGACAAGCTCCGAACACATTCAGTCGCAGCACAGCAGGGATTATCCATTCTTCAGCGGCTGGCGAAATTGGTCATGGAAAAAGAACTTAGTGTGATGATGGAATTGTCTACCTCTACAACCACTGCGCGATCACACGAGGCGACAATTACGGATTCTCCATCAACTCAGAGAATATCGGGTCAGGACTCTGATAGATCAATAGCTGGAAATTATATTATTGATCCTATTGAGGTGTCCACGGGAACCCCAGCACTCGATATCCCAACTGAAGATGGCTCTGCCCAATACATGCACGATCCTGCTCTAACGGCTGCCCTTCAAGATTTCGATCAAGGTATTGCTCCCTAACTCTTTGACCAAACCGTGCTAATACTTTCTATAGCTCTGTCGAATTATGCTCCTCGAGTTTCAGCAGGGTCTGACAGCAGTTCGGAAAACCCGTCATTTTGGCCCACCACGGAGGGCTTTCCGATCCTAGAGCAGAGCTGGATGTGGGGTCTAGAAGGTGCACCTTTATACGGGGAATACGCGGGTCCCAACCAGGATATTTAAGTACCCTAAGGGGTCTTACTACTATTGCTACACCATGAGTAGTGATTCGATACCCTTGAGCCTTCGAGCATTTCCATGATTCGAGATTCACGGTGATACTGGTCGCTCCGGTGGAATGAATTACCGAATTAGGAAGGTCATCCGCCGGAGCCATCTGCGGGGTGTAGGTATAAGAACGAGTCCTCACACATTCACGCCACAACAAATAAACACAACCCCATTAAAAGCACCCCAACATGGCGAACAAAATCACAGTCACCCTGCCCCAGCTGGCCAAGATGATCGACCACTCGCTCCTCCACCCCACCATGACCGACGCCGACATCATAGCCGGCCTTAAAATTGCCCGCGACAACCACGTCGCAACCGCCTGCGTCAAACCCTACGCCATTCCCTTAGCTAAGAAAGAGCTCGCCGGGTCAGACGTTCTGGTCTGTCCGGTCATCGGTTTCCCCCACGGTAACAGCACCACCGAGATCAAGGTCCTCGAAGCCACCGCTGCCGCGAAGGCTGGCGGAGCCGAGATCGACATGGTGGTCAATGTGGGCAAGGTTCTTGGAGAGGATTGGGACTATGTGGCGGAGGAGATTCGCCAGATCAACGATGCTGTGGTTGCCAATGGGGCGGTTTTGAAGGTCATCTTCGAGAATGATTACTTGCGCTCTGAGCATATTGCTCGTCTGTGTGAGATTTGTACTCAGATTGGAGTGGCCTTTGTCAAGACTTCGACTGGATATGGGTTCGTCAAGCAGCAGGATGGCTCGTATAATTACAAGGGTGCCACGGTGCAGGCTCTCATGTTGATGAGGGAGAAGTCTGGCGAGAAGGTGCAAATCAAAGCTGCTGATGGAGTTCGCACGTTGGATGACTTGCTACATGTCATGAGTTTGGGTGTTACTCGCATTGGAGCCACGGCTACCGTGGCAATTTTGGAGGATGCCAAGAAGCGTGGGATAGGGAACGAGCCTGTTGAGGTGGCATTCAAGCCAATGGCGGAGGCATCTGGAGGCTACTGAGGTTGCATTACTGGCGTCTATTTTCTCTATCATTTATGTTCGCTACAATTCAAGTCACTCCCTTTGCCCGGTCTTGACCACACCCCAGTTGATATCTGGCCCACTAAACGTCTTCCTCCCCACGGCAACCCATAGTAGATTAATCACCAAAAACACCCCTACCAGAATCACACACACGTAGTTCATCGATCCCAGTGTGACCTCAGGATCCGGCGGAAGACACGTCAATACCCCCTGAATGACAATCCACACAACGGCAACTCCATTGCAGAAATACCCAGCCCAGCCTAGATTCAGATACCGTTTTGGCATGCTTGATCTGCCACTAACAAGCAGGATACCCTGGGGTACGGTGTAGCTGATGTTCAAGAAGAGCACGGCAGACGTAATGATGGAGTTGAACGCGGTCGTGGAGGCGAGGTACAGTAGGCCGTAGAGACTGGTGAAGAGGAAGGCTGCCAGAGTGGTGTGGACGGGGAAGTCGAAGGTTTTGTTGATTTGGGAGAAGTATTCAGGGAAGGGTAGTCCGTTCTGGAAGACTGTCATTTGGATCCAATATAGAATCGAAGAGAGATAGCTCACGTCTCTGGCAAATGCCCATGCTATTCGTCCAGCAGTTACCCACTCCGCGGGCAGTGAGGCTGTTACATGAGCATTTGGCCTATTTTTTTTTGGGGCGACTTTGGAAGGCCAGGGTGTAGACTCACTGGTGTAGATTAGCGCCAAAATAATAAAGAGTCCGAGTGTGATGCTGCGGTTCCCAGTTCTTTTCCCCTTCCGTTAGTAGGGGGGGGCAACTCTGATCAGGTCCGGGGGCCTACATTTGATACACCAGTTCCAAACTCGGAAGTGGAGAATCCCGCACCGCGTCGATGTCGTCGACAAAAAACATCAACGCCACGAATAACGATATGCTAGTGACGGCGCCGATGGCCAAGGTCATCATCATTACCTGTGGCACTCGTCGTCCTGGTTGAGGAAGCTCCTCGCAGATATGGATCGCTATCTAGGTCAGCTCCGTTGTTGTCAACTATAGGTAGAGAACTGACCTGCATCTGTGCCTGCGCACGCATACATGGAGTTGTTAATTGCGAGGATCCAGGCTAAGCCTCTTCCCCATCCGCTGTTTCCTTGTGTTGAGGCGAGAAGGAATGAACCTGGCTGGACCTGTTGGTGCTTGGAGAGAACCACAGCGAAGAATACCAGATATCCCGCAAGGGTAAGGTAGAGAGAGCATTGAGTAACGAGGGAGATGCGTTTCGACGCTGCGAACACGGGCGTGACTGTGGGGCCGATGAGTGCTTGATGTAGAGTAAAGATTTCCGATTAAGCCTATTTACCTGTGATGACGGACACCCCGATATAAATCAAGTACGTCTGCCACGGGGTCGCCAAGTAGTCTGAATGGTAGAAATTTGCAATTCCGCCGAGGCAAAGCGCAACGAGAGAGGTGCCTGAGCAGCTGCAATCTATTCAGCTGTTATACCTTGCACGGGCTCAAACGAGGTAGGAAGACGTACGTGGCTACCCACCAGCCGAGCATCGAAAGCCAGCCAACAACGTAGGCACTATACCGCTTCGTGCAATCTGGGCTGAGGATGTAGCAGAAATGGTACTGGCCACCACTTGACTGTGATATTATCAGTAGATAGGTCGTAGGTACACAGGCAGAACGTACTGGAAAGGCGGAGGCCAGCTCTGCGAGTCCCAAAGTGACAATCAGCTGCACCACAAAGGCCACGACAAGACCGAAAATGCAGGATTGGGTGCCTCCGTAGGCTACGGTCTGTCCGAAGCAGCTCTAGCCGTAGAGGGTTTGTTAGCAGAGTTTTAGCCCGCGCGTGATACTCTTGGCAGTAGTTGGCTCACCAAGTAACCAACCCACGAGTTGGTGATAGAAAATCCCAATCCGAGCGCAGAGATCCAGTTGAATTGCCGGGGCATGGCCTGGGCATGGCCATGAGCACGGACGTTAGTATCGTCCTCGTGTTTAGTCGTGGAGCTGCATCCCACCCCAGGGAGATCGGGCGCACCGGCTGCGGCGATCCGATCGTCCGTGTTGGCTTTCTCGGTTGCTTCTAGAGACATGACATTTATGAGCACCATTCGATGATTGAAGATCATGACAGTGCGCCTTATATCTGTCTCTTCTGAGGTGCTCACCGTTATAGCTCACAGAACAGGAGCCCCTTGACTATCGGTAAAGCTCACATGATCTGTAGAACGCAATCCCTTGCATGCTGCTGCTGCAGAACCATTCGCACACCGCGATTGTCTTGAGCCTATGCTATATCCTAAGATCCTTTCTGGATACACTCCGAATGCTGCTTTACTTTGGCAATGTGCGTTAGGGTCGCGCCCATCGCGCACATCGCGCACACCGCCCGACCGGCTGTGGCAAAAGCTCTACATATTATGTACCGCTTCCTTCCAGAGTAATGAGATGAAGTTAACCGACTACTGGAAACAAATAGGAATATCTTTCAATATTAATGGGCTAGCAGAATCCAATGAGCCACTTGTAGTGCGCTAGAAATCTTAAAGCACCGCTGCAGAGTAGCTAGATCGCAATGCAAGGGATCGATGAGGCAGCTGAATCGTGGCGGGAGCTGCGCAGAAGGCCCGGCTGGCTATATTTCCCTATCGGGCACTTCTCACCGCCAGGCGGGGACCCTCTCCGCGTGTGGCGTGGTTCAGATTTACACGAGCTTCGAGTAAGATTATATATATGCTGGGTCAATCAGGCCCTGCATCATTGTCAAAGTAATAGTGGAGTTATATGTCTTGTAATGTTCACCACATGGCCACCATGCCGTTCAATCCCAACAAGTACAGCGACGAAGTCCAGAAAGTGTCCAAGGACACCGCTCTGGAGGAAATCATCTATCTACTCAAACGAGATGGAGGCGTATTCGTGAAGGGCCTCATCTCGGAAGCAGATGTCAACCAAGCTCACCAAGAAGCCAAACCTCGTCTGGACGCAGATGTGGAATGGAATGGCTCCTTCTTTCCAGGTGAGTCTGCTCTTTGCTGTCCTGTCTCGGACCGGCGCAGCTCATTTATCAGCACAAACTCAACGCGCACCGTCTCTGATCGCGCACAGCCCGACCTACACCAAGACTCAAGTCATGAATCCGCTGTTCCGCCAAGTCTGCGACCATTTTCTAACCTCCCGACGATGGTACTGGTGGGGAGAAGAGAAGAAGATGTCTCTGTCTAAGCCGTACGTGCACTCCTGCACGGCCATGAGGATCGGCCCCGGCGCCAAGGCGCAGCCCTTGCATCGCGATGATTACATTAACCATCGCTATCATGCCGAAATTGGCCAGTGGGATGATGTGCGGGATATGGAACGCGAGTCTGCCGTTGGTCTCTTTGTAGCTGGCTGTCGCGTCACTCGGGAGAATGGTGGAACGCAGTTTATTCCTCGCAGCCATCTCTGGTGGGTGGAGTGACTCCTGACTACCAATACGTTAAGTCATGTCTGATAGGCAAGCAGGGGCACAGATCGCACTACACCTCCAAAGGTCGAGCAATGTATCTTCGCCGATATGGAGAAAGGCGATGGCTTTATCATGCTCGCCTCGGCATTTCATGGAGGGGGCTCGAACATCACCAAAGACGAGTACAGGCTAGTCTTCGCCACGTTCGTTGTTCGAGGCTACCTGCGCCAAGAAGAGAACCAGTTCCTGGCGGTGCCGGCGGATGTCGCGCGCAGGTATGACCGGGAGACTTTGGAGTTTATGGGCTATGCCATGAGCGAGCCAGCTTGTGGTTACGTGGAACAGATGGATCCCATTTATCATCTTTGCCCGGAGCTTAGGGAAAACGAGCGGCCGCGGGACTTTTAGTTGATATTCCGGAGGTAAATCTGTCCATAGTGTATGCTGTCATCATTTTTACAAGAATCGCCTGTACAAGTCCATGCTGTAGACTGAACCTAAGGTGTCTGCAATATTTTACGGGTAGACCATGGTAAAATGGAGAAGATGGGGGTTTCCTCAATGTCTTTTGGGGCATGTCTTGGCTGACGAGTGATGTGAGCCACGAGAGGGTCTAGTTCTTCCATACATCAATGCCAACGTGGTCTGAGATTCTCTTTTCTACACTCATATGTTGAGTTTCCCAGTATTAGGACCGCGGTCATGTCATGCTCACGCTAGTGGTGAATCTCATGCTGCCTGACATGCCAAAAAAGGCAATACTTCCAGCAGCCTCTTCGGGAGGCACTCGGCATGATCCTGGCAAGCCTCGCGCAGTATTCTTGCCACCGCCCGGATTCGACATCTTTAAAGAGTCTGATGTCCACCTCCAGTCTTGTGTAAGTCTTATTGTTGTGTCTTCTGCTACCCCGCTCCTCGGTAGCTGACCATCATGCATTCCCCAACCTCTGCTACAACCCATCCCAGCCTAGCTGCCAACCTCTATGGCAAGACAGCTATCGTCACTGGTTCTTCCAGGTACATATATCATGTCTCAAGAAGTGGTATCGACTGATATTATAGTAGAGGCATCGGTGCTGGCATCGCCCTGGAGCTGGGTCGACGCGGGGCGGCGGTGATCATCACATATTCATCAGAGCGGTCTAAAGCTGCAGCGCAGAGTGTTGTAGAAGCTATCGTGAAGGCCTCCTCTGGTGGTCAGGGTGTCTTGGTGCAGGCGAACATCACTTCTGCTACTGATCGCCAAACTCTCATTGATACTGCAGTGCAAGCGAGTCCGACGGGTTACATCGATATGCTGGTCCACAATGCGGCGGATGGGGAAGACAGTTCGCTCGAGGATGTGACTGAGGAGTTGTTTGAACGATTGATGGCAGTTAACCTAAAGGGTAGGTGACACTCCGGAATAACTGAGGCACCTTGGTGGATGGATCATTGGTTAACTTATGCCGCAGCTCCGTTATTCCTTACCCAGTCTGCAGTGCCATATATGCCCCGTGGTGGACGCATCATTCTCATTACCTCGGCTGCGGCACGCATGGGCGTCGCCCAGACCAGCGTCTATGCTGCCAGTAAGGCTGGTATGGAGGCGCTGGTACGCGTCTGGGCTACGGAACTGGGCCAGAGTCATGGAATTACAGTCAACGCCGTCAGTCCGGGACCCATCGCGACGGAACAATTTCAGAACAGTGCTCCCGAGTTCAAAGAGGCTATGCAGCCCATGATTCAGGCTACTCCCGCCGAGGCCCGTATGGGAGCGGTGGAGGATATTGTCCCGTTGGTCAGGTGAGTGGTTTTCAGCAAGATATCACGAATATGAGCAAAGGTAAGCTGACTGACAGGCAATAGCTTTCTGTGTTCCGAGGAAAGTCGGTGGATGACAGGGTGTACTCTTAGTGGCACAGGTGGAATGCTGTTGTTGTGAAGCACAGTAAATGCCCAGCCAGCAGAGTTAGATCTGATGCTATAACATGTTTCGGCTCTGGATATATATCATTCTTGCATCAACGGTGATGCCAACTTACTAATGAGAGGCTCATCACGGTAGAGGCTTTGGAACTTACGTCCGTGGAAGGGGTAGTAACGTATATCATGCGTAGGAAACACTCTCCGCAGAGTGAGTTATTTCTTAGATTTAGCAATACTCATCCAACGAGATTATTCAACCATGTAGATTATAGCGATGTCCATGGAGGACAGTGTCTAGGTCTATAGAGGATAACAAAAATCTAAATCGTCATATATGAAATGCCATAAAGCTCCACCACATCCAATCAATTAGATCGGCTCGTCCCGCGGCTCGATCAGCACTTCATTCACCGAGACATGTGCCGGCTGGCGCAGCGCGTACACAATTGAGTCGGCCACATTCTCCGGTTCGAGGATCTGTGCTCCGGACGGCTCGCCGTACTTCTTGACGGCCTCGGCATCTGTGGACATGCCCAGGAGGTCTGTCGCCGTGTTGCCCGGTTGTACACTGGTCACGCGCAGACCCATGCCCGCGGTCTCCAGGCGCAGGGACTGCAGCGTAGCCTCGACGAAGAACTTACTGGCCGAGTAGACACCCAGGCCGGGGAATACCTTGCGTCCAGCATCGGAAGAGATTGCCACGATGTGGCCACCGCCACGAGAGAGCATGCCAGGCACACTGGCGGACAGGCAATGGAGGAGACCCTTGCAGTTGACGTCGACCGTACGCTCCCACTCTTCCGTCTGCACATTGGCCATCATGGTAAAGTACATCACTCCGGCACACGATACGAGGATGTCCACGGGACCGAGTTCATCGTTGGCAGCCTGCAAAAGCGCATCTACTTGCTCCTTGCTCGTGACATCAGTTTTCCGGGCAATGACCTTGCCACCGTGGGCCGTGATGCGGCCCTTCACCGATTCCAGGGCGTCAAGACGCCGAGCAGCGAGGGCGACATGGCAACCCTCTCGGCCCAGAGCGACCGCGACCGCAGCTCCAATGCCAGAAGAGGCACCCGTCACGACGGCCACCTTTCCGCTGAGCGGACCCTTGATAGCAGGCTTCGCGGTCCCATTGAGACATTGCTGGCGAAGCGGCGGCCGCGGCAGCCAGCCTCGAGCGAACCAGTGCCGCGTGTAGGTCTCCAGCAGGGCCCGGTCGACCTTGGGACGTTCCACAACCGCCCGGAAGGGACGAGTGGCCGCATTGTCCAGCACGACAATGCCGCGGAGAAAGTCCACGGTGGGCATGCCACTGCGGAGGATATCGACGGTGAAACCACCATCCCCACCCTTGACCGCACTGCGCTTCTCATTCCATAGGGATACCCAGTCATCCCAGGCCAGGGACTTGGTCGGGTAGCCGAGCTCATTCAGAGATGCAAAGACCGACCGTGTATCGACCGGGTTTGGGTCGCCGAGGTGGAACACGGTTTGCTCAGCGTGTGTCTGGCTGGCCAGATGCACAATAGCCTTGCTGACAAAATCCACGGGAGTCATCTCCGCGCGCCAGCCTTCCACTTCAGGTGCGTAACCGAGCTTGATCGACTCGACAAACAAGGCTGACAACAGATCCCAGGCGTTAGCGGCCCCCGTCTGGCTATGGCCGCTGATGGTTCCGGCACGGTGAATCTTCACGGGCAGTCCGCGACGACCAGCTTCGAGCACCAGCTGCTCAGCCACCCACTTGGTTTGACCGTATCCATCCAGCAGCTTGTCAGGGACGTCGTCCACCGGGAGCATGGCGTCTTCCGGCCAGCCCTTCTCTCCGGACGGTGGGAGCACGCCATTGGTGGACACATATTGCACGGTCGCACCACCTTTGCATGCCAGGCGGAGGACTTCTCGCGTACCGCCAACATTGGGCCCGCGAAGGGCAGCATACGGGTAGACCAAGTTGACGGTGGCAGCAGCATGAACGATGACCTGCACGCGGGAGGCGAGCTCGTCGAAGGCTTCGGGGGAGAGGCCGAAGCGGGTCCGCGACAGGTTTCCGGGCAGGATCTCAACGCGCTCCATGATGGAGTCCCGCCACAGTCCCAGGTCCAAGAGGTTACGGCGAATCCTGGCCACACCACCGGGCTGGTCGTCATCAGCCGGGTCCGTAAATCGGACCAAGCAGATGATATGGGCGGAGGTGCTTTCCAGCAGGTCGTGCAGGAGGAAGGCGCCAAGGAATCCCGTCACTCCCGTCAGGAGCACCGTGTCGGCGTCGGTGACAGAACGGATGGACGCTTCGGACGGTCGGATATCATCGTCGAGGGTGGCGTCGGCCCGGAGGACCGCGGGGAGATCGGCTTGAACCGCGGCCGTATGGCCGTCGCGAATGTCACGAACGGTCTGGAGATGGCCCGCCAAGGTCGCATTCTCCGCCAGCCGTGCGATCGGCACGCGGAAGCCAAAGTGTCGGGACATGCGCGAGGAGAGATCCGCCAGCGACAAGGAGTGTCCACCCAGATCGAAGAAATCATCGCTGGGTTTCAAGAGGTTGCGTGCGGTTTTGAGAGCGACCGCCCAGATGGCGGCCACCTGATCAATGCCGATCGGGTCCTTCTCCACGGGCTTTCCGTTCCCGTTGACGTGATCGGCCGTGCGCGGGGGAGGCAGGCGTTTCAGGTCAACCTTGCCCGTCACATCATGTGTGGGGAGCTCCTCCAGCTCCACCCAGAGAGACGGAATCATGTAGTGCGCCAGAACCTGGACGAGGGTCCGACGCGCGCCCGGGCTATTGCCCGCCTCATTGATTTCCACGACGGGGCGGTCGGTGGCGTGGTCGTTGTCGCGGACAATGTATGCCACCAACTGTCGCTCCAGGCCCTCGCCATGGGCCACCACGGCACAGTGGCGGACCGCGAGGTTCTTGGTGATCTCATACTCCACCTTGGCGGGCACAACAGAGTAGCCGCGCAGCTTGATCATGGATCCCACGCGCCCGGTGATTTCGAGGAGGCCCGAAGGCAGCCGGCGAGCGAGATCGCCCGTCCGGTACAGACGGGATCCCGGGGTGGCATCGAAGGGGTTCTCCGTGAACGCTTTGGCGGTGGTCTCGGGAAGGTTGAGGTACCCGCGAGCCAAAAGTGGACCAGCCACATAGAGCTCCCCGCTCACCCCATTCTCCACCGGTTGCCGGTTCTCGTCCAGAATGTGGGTGTTCTTGGGGTCAATCGGGGGCCCAACCGGACAGTACAGGGCTTGCTCATCGAGCATCTCCCGAATGTCCCCGCAGGCGATCTCGTGTGTTTCACAGGCACTGTAGCAATTGAGGAGGCGGGTGTTCGGCAAGGCTTGGCTGGCGCGACGGGCAAGATCGGTGGTCACCACCTCACCATTGAACCACAGCGTGCGGAGATGCGGCAGACGCGAGCCGATGTGAGGGTGACGGGCGAGGACGGTAGCGAGGAGGGTTGGGGTCATCAGGGTTTCTGTGATGCGCTTGGCAGCGAGGAGATCGACGAGAGCGGCGGGGTCGTAACTGATATCGTCCGGCACCGCAACGACAGCCGCTCCCCGCAGCAGGGGACGCAAGATCTCCCAGATGAAGAAGACATTGCACGCGACCCGATCGTTGGGGGACAGATCCTGCACACCAAATCGGAGGTTATAGGAGAGAACCGGGGCTCTGTGAGGGTTGGCAATTCCCTTGGGCTTGCCCGTGGTTCCGGACGAATAGGACACGAAGGCCAGTCGATCCAGATCGTCATCTGCGGGAGGGGGAGGCAAATCCGACACCCCATTCGTCTCGGTGGCTGGTTCATCTAAGGAGATGAGGGGGACGTCGGCCTTGATTTTGCCGACTTCGGCTCTACAGGTGATGATGACGGCGGGGTTCCCGTCGCGGATCACATCGTCCAGAAGCTCGGGTGGGTAGGCCAACTCGAGCACCAGAAATGCTCCGCCCGCACGGAGCGCCGCCAGACAGGCAATGACATATTCACTGCTACGCGGGAGCAGAACGCCCACCAGGGTGTCCCGTCCGACTCGGTAGTGATGCAGACGCCGAGTTAGTTCGTCGACCGCCCGGTCTAATTCTGCGTAGGTATAGGTGGTCTTGTCGTCTTCCAGCGCCAGCGCATCGGGAGTGGCCTGCACCTGCTTGGAAAACAGGGCTGACAGGTCTTTGGTGACATCAATGATGGTCATTGTGTAAGTGGGGGTCGCGTGGGGGGGAAAGAGAGACGGAGAAGTGGGAGGGAGTACGAGGGCGAGGAGAAAGTGCGACCACCGGTCGACGGTAGATAATTAGGGAGGACTAAGGGGGGGTATTTAAGTCGCGATGGCAAGTCTTGGAGAAAGAAGGAAATAAATGAGGTGTCAGATAGTCACTTCTGCGGTGAGCGCTGAAAAGAAAAGGAAAGCGCGAGGAGGATTGGGGGGAACAGGTGGAAGATATAGGAACTGGCAAGTAACTCACCGGAGGGCTTCCATGGCCTTCGCCAGGGAAACAAAGCAAACACGCCGCTGGACACGACGGGGGAACTGGAAAGCTTCCCAGGAAGCGTAATCCCGCCATATCTGGCAGCTGTTGAGGAATTAGTGTGGACGAGACAGTGGGGGCTCGAGGAGGATAAGTAGCAAGTGAGAGCGTGAGGATCGCTAAGAATTGAAGCCCGTCACTGAGAGGCTCGATCACATGCAAATCACGAGTGCCCCAAAAGGGTTTAGTGGGGGTCTCAACGTTCGCTCTTTCTGGCTGCTCGATAGAGATTTGAAAATCAAGACATTCTCTCAGTGATCAATTGATAAGCCGATGTTCGGAAGAGAAAAATACTACTATCTCATCATGATGCTGCCTTGGATGGATGTGAGAGAGAATTTCCCTGGTTCTGCTTGCTGTGTACGAAAATTGAGGAGGGGGAAATTCTCTCTGCCAGCGGGAAATCTCGCCGGTTGCCCACCAATAGTTGGACTCGGTCAGCCTGCATGTGTACCCGGCTGGCCCTCGTATCCTGGGGATCTGGACTGGTTACATGGACACTAATTCCCTCATCATATCAGTTCCTACGATGTGCATTATCACAATTTGTTTTATTTGTATTTTGTCTGTGCATCTTAAATTTTTTGTGTGTGCGTGTGCGGCAAGCTGCATCAGCGTGCATGGATGAGCTGTACCTGACGGGACTGAACCCTCCCCCTCAGGACGACAGCTTTCCCCTCTCTTTAGCGACCGACCGGGGGGATTGACTCCGCACTACTAAAGCAGTCTCACTCAGCTCGAGCTCGAGACGGGGGGCCACTCTGGTAAGTAAGTAGGTTGGGGAGACGGTTAGTCCCGATCGAGACAACCGATATTATTAGAGACAATGCCATTGGCTGCACGGGGCACTTCTGCGGGACGCACTAACCCAATTCTCCCCTTTGGATCAAAATCCTTTGACATGTGATTGCGGGTCCCCCTTTGCGCTGTTTGTTTCCCTTCCCTCGAGCTCTCGAGCTCGAGCTCTCTCTCTCTCTCTTTTCCCAGATCTTTCCCTATCGATCCTTCACCACCATCCAGTAGCAGCCCAGGATCTCCCCTTTACTCAATTGACCCCTTGCAGCTGAGAGGGGTCAGTTTCTGTTCGGCGGATGTCATCACTTTATCGGTGCCCCGGATACTTGCATCGCCCGCAGGAACCGACTTAGATAGCGCGGTCCCAATAATCCACTGTCGCTGCACTGCATCTTCCGGGATTCTTTTACCTATCCGGGTAATACCTCAGACGACTGCATGCTGCAGTGTCCAGCAAGGGCGTGGGGAGGATGTTAGCTGCTAGATACTTGTCACTTTTATCACAAAGGGAGGACCAGAGTAAGTCCTCCTGACTTGGGAAGGGATGTTGGTTCGTGTTCCCGGTCACCAACACGGTGGTGTCGTGGGGGTGGGTGGTAATATTCAGAGTGTAGAGTGGTAGGTAGTATTCTTTCATTACACGGCAGTGGTAGTTCTATAGCCTGTGTAATATGCACAGGTCATGTCAGGTCTGTCAATCCATCCTTGCGTGGCTGTCAAGGAATGAGCTATATTCCTCGATCCTAGACAGTCTAGACCAGCGCGCATGAACAGATAACAGCCACTATGTGATGAGGCATTATCTGCACATCACTAGGAGAGGCAGCAATTTCACTTCTAGTAGCGACTTGGTAGTATATCAGTTGTAACTCGGCAATCAATGCCGTAGCCCCTTGTGTTCCCAGAAGACATAGGAAGTTGCTCCGATTCTCAATTACTAGATATTTTCTGGACTTGAATTTAGTTATAGCAGATAAATTTTAAGTAATTGGCACCTGAACTATCAAACATGATGATGGTGGATTTGGATTATGGTCGATGGTTTCTTGCCAGGATATCATAAGAATATACGATTAGTGACACTGAATTTGAATAATTCTTGTCAATTATTACTTCATGATCCCCCGATCCTGGGATAACACTAACCATCAGTTACTACTTCAAGGTTGGGAAAGGTTTCTACCCATTAACTACTCATGGTACCGACAGGACATCGCCCTACGGAGATATATATCCGCCATTAGATGCGAGATCAGGAATCATCGCCACTCCAACCACATAAAATGCTACAGGGGTAGTAAATAAGATACGAAACATTCATATGTCCTATATGTACGGATGACCAAGATTGTGAAATGACTCCAGCTAACCCCCTCGTGACGCATCACTCTGCAAGTAGTTGTCGACAGTCACGTGATAGCACTGAATGACCAAGACTTTTGCCTGAGGCGACGATTATAATGCCTGAGGCGGTGGGCCACGTTCCGGTCGGAGAGAGCCCTCCACATTCCCATCCATGTAGCATCATCATTATCTCTGCTGCGATTGAAATTGCCTCCGACGGGAAAATCAAGCCACAGTCTCTTACACATATTACGACGGGATTTATCTCCCCCATCGCCATCGCCATCTACTGCTTATCATGCACAGTCATGGGACCCCTAGACGGGTCGATCTGGGGTAAAAGGGCCCCGCGCGACCCCACCCACACGAACGGAGGACTAATACACCCATTGAAAATTATTATAATACCGCTCTATTATAGTATTGCTTTTTTTTTGTCGTGTTATTATTATTTCTTTTTTTCCTAGTTGCCTACCGCGATAAATGCGGCAGCCTCGACACCCGCGACGACGATATGGACACTTCCTCCGTCAGGCGGATCCCGTTCTTGAAGGCCAATTGTCGTTCCTCCGGCGAGAAGCTGACGTCCATCAGTAGATCCTCCGACGACCCATCGTTGCGCGAATGCTTCGTCCCCTCGCTGGTCGGGCCCCGCAGGCTGGGATCCCCTCCCACGCCAATGTTGACCTTGTATGCGTCGTCGGCGGCCGTGCGGGTCCCCAGACTGCTGAGTTTGACCCCGGTTTCCCAGCTGCGTCCGTATGCCCGTTGCGCTCCACTGGGCTTGCCGCTGGTTCCTCCCGCTCGCGAGGAGTATGCCTTGAGGTGCGAAAACCACGACCCGAATAAGGATTTCATAGCGGGAATAGAGAGGGCGATTAGGGTGCCGCCGACTTCGGAGGTTTCGATGGCCAGCATGGGGTCGTAGGCCCAACTGCCGTCGGAGGACCACTGGCCGACGATGACCAGCCATAAGCGGACGCAGGAGATGACCAGGACTCTGGCAGAGGCATTCACATTAGTAACGAGGCATGGTAAGTACACCGAGGGGAAATATTGTGTGAACTCACAAGACACCCGGGAACATGATCAGGGACAACTGCAGTTTGCGCTTCGGCGACACTTGCAGCATGTAGATCAACATGGAGGGCAGGGCCAACATCATCACGTCGCAGACCAGGGAGAGGGCCGAATTGGTCACATACACATCCCCCCATGTGATGCACTTGTAATTGTCAATCTGCGGCTGCCAGGGGTAGGGCCAGAGACCCGTGACGGGCAGACAATGGAACAGCAGGAGAAAGAATTGGGCGAGAAACGCGGCCAGCAAGAACCCTGCGGAGAGCTTGATGGCCAGGGAGATCTTGGGGTGACGCGAGGCCAGACGCTGGTAGAAGGCCAAACCGGATAGGCGACAGACGAACAAGGCGGTGGTGTAAAGGATGTGCATGACAAAGTCGTAGCGTTCGGTGTCGTTGACGCGGGACAGGGCGAGGACATATTGGATATATTCAATGTGCCGGCCACTGCCCATGTCGATCAGAATGATGGACAGGGCGATAATGGCGATGTAGATGGCCTAATGCGGCTTCGAGTCAATTCCATTCGATTCAATCTGCCATGGCGGATACGGGGGAGGAGGAAGCTACCAGAGTAAAGACGGCCAAAGCATCATCCCAGCCGAACTTCTTGACGAGAAAGAGACGGGCGTAGCAACGGGCGACGACGATCACGAAGGTCAGGGCGCCAACGAAGAGGATGGCGATCTTGGTGGGCCGATCGCGCGACTGGGCCAGATAGTCGGCCGTGACACCGGCAGGGATGCGGCCCTCCGCCTCAGCAGTTTGGATGTCCGCCGGGATTTGAGGCATGGTGGTTCATCCGGGCAGCAGGGCGAGGGGAGGGAGACCGACAACGTGGTCTCACAGCCTGAAGAGTAAAGGGGGAGGGGGTTGCATGGGGGAGGGGGTTTATGAAGGAAGTAGTTTGTGCTATATTAAATTTTTGTGTGGGCATGACGACAAGACCAAGGAACAATTGAATTCTTCTTCCGATTAGACTTTGGGGAGGGAGAGGATTGGCAGGGCCGCAGCATTGGATCGGGTTGTCATCGGTACCGATCAAAGGCCGTTGCGGGATCTCGAAGGGCTTTGCCAGCTGTTTTCGGTCGGGGAATGCCTCCGATGATTGGGCTGGTTTGAGGCTGAAGAGCCTAACCCAAAGTCAATTGCTAAGATATCGAAGAATAGACGCAAGTTACCTAATGACAATCATATGATAGAATCGATCAGGGGGTGAAGCTGGAGAAAATGTTACCAAACTACTAACTAACTACAGACTCTTCGACTCCTTTTTGACTTTTTCCTCTTTTTTCCCTGACAAATGGACCCCATGGGAGAATGATCTCGCACCCGCCGCAAGCCTGTCAGAACTTTACTATGGGAGGATGCATAAACCAGCAGCAGCAGCAGCAGCACTAGTTAGTACTCCGTAGATGAAGCAGCATCGGCTGCACCGGATGGGCTGGTCGGGTGGGTCCGGGCTCGCCTATCTGCCATCCATCATCAGAGGATCCACACTGCACTTCGCTGCCTGCAGACTTGCTGTTGGTTGCATACCAAAGAGTAGAAATGAATTCTTCTGTGCTTGACGCTTCAAATGGAAGAACAGGGGAGTAAATAGTATTCCCCGGGAGCAAAGACTTACTTACTGTCGAAAATAGTCTCCGAAGGGGTTGTGTTTGTGTGTCAAACTGTCACGGAAGGTTGTGGCGGCCGGTCCGCCCTTCCCTTTTCCAGTTGCCGATGAAACCTTCCCGTTTCTGCTCGAGATGGTGTGTGTTGTTTCCCCACAGAACCCAGGTTTTGAACGCTTTACGCAACCAATTAATCTATCGGCCTCTGCTGGGATCCAATGATCCTATCCAGTCGGACTCTTTCTCCATATCCTTCCCTTTTCTTTCCCCCCCTCCAAATCAATAGTGGCATTCTACTAAAGTTTGCCCCCTCCTTCTTTTGGTCGGCACGAGATAGCCGTGTCCCTCCCTGGCGGTCCCTTGCATGATGCCGGTCGCTGTTGGTGCCTGTTCGCGCCGGCCTTTTTAACCAACCACACACACATCTGCTTTTCTTTCCTTTCCTTCCCCCCCTGGTCTCATCTTCCCAAACCAAATCTCATTTTCCACGTGGCAGCGATCTGCAGGGACAATCGAGAAACGGACGATCGGCCATGCCTTCCTTTGCCTCTTGGCTCCTCACCTCCGGATTGGCCGCCGTGGCCAGCGCCATCACTGCCAATGACAGCCTCGTGGCCCAGCAGATTGATACCCAACCCTTCCCCTATGACTTCCCCCAGTTGGGCGTCAATGGTTCCGATCTCTTTCCCATGCGGGACTGCCATGGCTTCACCCTGGAGGAGGCCAGCATCGATGAGATCCAGGCGCAGCTGAAGGCCGGTCGCTTCACCGGCTCCCAGCTGCTGCAGTGCTACCTCGAGCGCATCTACCAGGTCCAGCCCTACACCAAGTAAGTTGCCCTTCTTCTCACAAAAATGCGGTTCGCTGATTCTGGTGTTCCAGTGCGGTGCTGCAGTTCAACCCCGACGCCATGGCCATTGCCGAGGCGCTGGATGCCGAACGCAAGCAAGGTACCGTGCGCGGTCCCCTGCACGGCATCCCCTTCCTGGTCAAGGACAACATCGCCAGTAAGGACAAGATGGAGACCACCGCGGGCAGCTGGGCCCTCGTCGGCTCCGTCGTCCCTCGCGATTCTTACGTCGTGCATCGTCTGCGCCAGGCGGGTGCGGTCCTGCTGGGCAAGGCCACGCTCAGCGAGTGGGCGGACATGCGCTCCAACGACTACTCCGAGGGCTACTCGGGTCGCGGGGGCCAGTGCCGCAACCCCTACAACTTCACCGTCAACCCCGGTGGCAGTAGCTCCGGTTCCGGTGTGGCCGTCACGAGCAACCAGGTGCCTTTTGCTCTGGGTACCGAGACGGATGGTAGTGGTAAGTTTGGCAGACCAAAAATATGATGACACAAATATGCTAATGTGGAGGACCAGTGATCAACCCGGCTGAGCGTTCGAACGTGGTCGGTATCAAGCCCACCGTGGGTCTGACCTCCCGGGCGGGTGTCATCCCCGAGTCCCTGCACCAGGACACGGTCGGCACCTTTGGCAAGACGGTGCGTGATGCCGCCTATGCGCTGGATGCCATCTACGGCATTGACCCCCGCGACAACGAGACCTATGCCCAGCAGGGCAAGACCCCGGCGGGCGGGTACGCCCAGTTCCTGACCAACCAGACGGCGCTGAAGGGTGCGGTGTTCGGTCTCCCGTGGTTGTCCTTCTGGCAGTACAACGACGCCGCACAGAACGCCCAGCTGATGGAGCTGCTGGCGCTGATCGAGGCGGCGGGAGCCACCATCATCAACGGCACGGAGCTGCCGCACTACAAGGAGATTGTGGACCCGTCGGGCTGGAACTGGGACTACGGCACCACGCGCGGCTACCCCAACCAGTCCGAGTACTCGTACGTCAAGGTGGATTTCTACAACAACATCCGGGACTACCTGGCGGAGCTCAACAACACCAACATGCGCTCGCTGGAGGATCTGGTGCAGTACAACCTCGACAATGCGGGCAGTGAGGGCGGTGTTCCGGGCGTCAACCCGGCGTTTGCCTCGGGCCAAGACGGATTCCTGGCCTCGCTGGCCACCAAGGGCGAGATGAACGAGACCTACTGGCAGGCGCTGGAGTATTGCCACCGCACGTCTCGGGAGGAGGGGATCGATGCGGCCCTGCACTACCAGGGTCGGAACCTCACGGCGCTGCTGGTGCCTCCGGACTTTGCCCCCTCGATCGAGATTGCCGCGCAGGCGGGTTACCCGGTGGTGACGCTGCCCGCGGGCATCAACCAGGACTCGCATATGCCCTATGGACTGGCGCTGATGGGCACGGCGTTCTCGGAGGCCACGCTGATCAAGTATGCCAGCGCCATCGAGGACCTGCAGCTGTCGTCCAACACGCCGTGGAAGCGCAGCCTGGCCACGTGGAGCGGCTACCTGGAGCGAAACATTCCGGTGAACTAAAAACGATGTACTTTTACTTAAGTGATAGAAGGGGTAAGCAGGGAAAATTCGCTGCATCGCCCGCGTAATTAATGGTTAATTAGAAAATCGAATCGAATCGACCTCATGGTGACTCGTGCTGATCGGGGGTGTGAAATACTAGTTCGTAGGAGGGAACTTAAACTTTTCGCTTCCGTTGGTGATGGGAGAAGAGTCGTGTTCCACGACCGCATCGGAAGATTACCTTGGCGTGCCAAGACTGGTAGCCAGCTCTGGGCCGTGACACCGTGCCAGTCACCGCGCGCGCACGTCGTGCTGGGATGATGGTTTCTGGAAATTCTGCTGGGACCGAGTTTGCGAATGAAGCCTTCCCAGCATCCCCACGTGGGCCCGGGGAATGCACTGATAGGATGGTGGAGACCTGCCCGTTCCGCCCAGCCTGCCAAGACACGCCTCTTCGGGTCCGCCCAGACTTCATCCTCAAGTATATCTGGATTCGACCAAGTCGGATGGCAGTTTATCTGCACCAACGACCGCAGGCAGTGCGGGTGCCAAGCCGCCGCCCAGCCATGCCTAGCAGGGCCCATCCTGTGCCACTGGCGGTAAATCTGGTAACACGCTGGTAAGTAGTATCTCGAAAAAGTCTCCCTCTGGCGGGTAGTACCTGATCCTGATCCGTCGTGGTGGCTTTGCTGTGAAGCTCTGCGCGAATTTCCGAGGTCTGGCCCTTGTCATACCCTCCCCCCCGTAATACGATGTATTCCCCGAACACCCTGGACGTGCCCTTCGAGGTCAACCTCGCCCCCGCTGGCTCTTCGAATCATCGACCTTCAAGCAGGAACGTGTCCGACTCCAGCTCCCTGACATGGAGGATGGGCTGAGATACCTCCATCCCGCCGTAAACTCTCCTGGAGCACGTGGCCTGCTGCAGAGTGAATGTCCTGCCTGGCCTGATGGCGTCCGTCAGTCACATAAAGTGGGAGCTGGTCCGCCAGGGAGGTTCATGAGGCTGTCCGTCAGCTTTCTCCCTTCCATCCTTCCATTCCTCCTCCCCCTCCTCCCTTTTCTGTTGGCCGTACTCATAGCCAAAGAAAACGTCCCGTCACCATGGCGATCCTCCACGAGTACGACTACATCTTCGCCATCGGCACCTTGTTTGCCATGCTGGATGCCTACAACAACGGTGCAAGTGAGTGGTGACACCAAGTCATGTGCTTATCCCCGGATTGGATGTACCTTGTATACTGACGTGACCTCTGTATCTGTCTTCCAGACGATGTGGCCAACTCCTGGGCAACCAGTGTCTCCTCCCGCTCCGTCTCCTATCGGCAGGCCATGGTCTTCGGCACCGTCTTCGAGATGCTGGGCGCCATCTGTGTCGGAGCTCGCACGGCGGATACTATCAAGAACGGCATCATTCCCAACTCCGCCTTCCAGGGCAACGCCGGAGTCCAGATGCTGGCCTTTACCTGTGCCTTGGCGGCGGCCTCCTCCTGGGTGATGTGGTGTACGCGCCACTCGGCCCACGTCTCCTCGACGTACTCCCTGATCTCGGCCGTGGCGGGCGTGGGTGTGGCTACCGTAGGTGCCTCCCACGTGCAGTGGGGTTGGAATGATGGCAAGGGCCTCGGTGCCATCTTCGCCGGGCTGGGGATGGCCCCCGTGATCTCGGGAGGCTTTGGGGCTGCCATCTTCATGCTCATCAAGTTGGTCGTGCTCATCCGCAAGAACCCCATCCCCTGGGCCGTCTACAGTTCCCCCTTCTTCTTCCTGATTGCCGCCACCATCTGCACCCTGTCCATCGTCTACAAGGGCTCTCCCAGTCTGGGTCTGTCCAAGAAGCCCAGCTGGTACATCGCGGCGGTCACCATGGGCACCGGGGGTGGCGTCATGCTTCTCTCCGCCCTCTTCTTCGTCCCCTTCGTGTACGCCCGTGTCATCCGCAAGGATCACAGTGTGAAATGGTGGATGTTCATCCTGGGCCCCATGCTGCTGACGCGCCCCGTAGTCACGCATGGTGAGCAGGCCAAGATCCCAGACTACGCGGTCGTGCAGGGAAGCTCCGAAGATCTCACACTCGGCTCCCCGGATACTCTCCGCGGCGATGATGCCAAGAAGTCCACCCAGGCCGGCGTCGAGTCGATTCCGTCCCGCAGCGAGGAAGGCGAGAAGCGCATGGTGGCCGGGGAATCTCAGCAACTGACCTACAAGGAACTCATGGAACAATCCGACCGTCGGCTGCGGGAGCGTCTGCTCAAGAAGCGTGGCCCGCTGGGCTGGGCGATGCGGACTCTCCGCGACAACCCCATGGGAGCCGGGCAGTTGTACGAGCTGCACAATATGGTGATTCTGGCGAAGCGTATCCCGGCGATGATTGTGTGTGGGCTTCTCTATGGTCTGCACTATGATATTCACGCCGCCCAGTCTGGTATTGCGGGCACCCCCGAAGGCAAGCGCATGCAGCGCGTGTACGCCCACGCCGACAAGTATCCCAACGAAGTCGAGCACACCTACTCGTTCATCCAAGTGCTGACCGCCTGCACTGCCTCCTTTGCCCACGGTGCCAACGACATTGGTAACTCGGTCGGTCCCTGGGCCGTCATTTAGTCCGCCTGGTCAACGGGCAACGCAGCGGCGGCCAAGGCACCGGTGCCCGTGTGGCAGTTGGCGGTGCTGTCGGCATGTATCTCGATCGGCCTGATCACCTACGGCTACAACATCATGAAGGGTAAGTCGATCCCATCGTGTGACTCGTCAATAAATACTAACGAGGGTATAGTTATGGGCAACAAGATCACCTACCACTCGCCGAGTCGCGGTTGTTCGATGGAAATGGGCGCCGCCATCACGGTGCTCGTCTTCTCGCAGTACTCACTGCCCGTGTCCACGTCCATGTGTATCACGGGCGCGACAGTCGGGGTGGGACTGTGCAATGGCACGCTCAAGGCCGTCAACTTCCAGCGCGTGGGACTGCTGCTGCTGGCGTGGATCATGACGATTCCGATCGCGGGCACGTTGGGTGGGATTCTGATGGGACTGTTTATTAATGCGCCGCATTTTGCATTGTAGATGTTTTCTGATGTCATTTAACCTTTTTTCATGCCTCTCCTGATCGGTGGATCAAGAGTCGTGGCACGGAGTTGTTCATATTTTTTACTACCATACCCCGATCATGTAATACAAATGTCTGCTGCCCTTCCTTCTCCGCACTTCCAGCACTACTACTAGTGGATGTACCATCGTAAATCCCGGCCGAGATAAAGGGCCATTGGGCCATGGATCCAGATAGGCGGTGGCTTCGGGACGAGACCCGTCTGAGACAAAGCCTGGCTGATATCACCAAGCGACGATTGGCTTCTGATGAGGGGGGAGGAGATAATCCCACGATCAGATTAACCCCGCTCTGACGAAGACGACGACTTACTAGAAATTCCTCCATCTCTCCCACCCAACGGTGAGGGGATTCACTTTCCCCTCGACTGTGACTTCAATTCACCACCACCACCAGTATGGGCAGTGCCATGGAACCTCGCTACCGCCTGGGGGTGGATGTGGGCGGTTCGTCCCTACTCCCCCCACCAACTTCTATTTTAGCTTCCCCACTAACAATTGACATCAGGAACCAACACCGACGCCGTGCTCATCCACCTCGATCCTGTGGCAATCGTCGCCTCGCACAAAGCACCCACTACTCCAGATGTCACCACTGGTATCACCGCCGCCGTCCAGGCGGTCATCGCGGCCGCAAAAGTGCCCCTCTCGTCCATCGGGTGCGTCATTGTCGGGACTACCCACTTTGTCAATGCCGTCGTCCAGCGCTCACCCTCTTTACGCCGCGTCGCGGTGATTCGACTGTGTGGCGGACCCGACGAGGGATTCGGTCGCAACATCCCTCCATTTACGGATTTCCCTCTTGATCTACGCGCGCGTATCGCATCGTCGCAGCCATACTTTTGCCATGGTGGGTACCAGATTTCTGGGGAGGAGATCAGCCCGTTGGATGAGACCGAGCTGGAGAAAATCGCAGCGCAGTTGGTCCATGATGGGATCTCAAACGTGGTGATCGCTGGTATGTACGCGCCATTGAATCATACCCAGGAGACCAGGGCGAAGGACGTTCTTTTGCGATCGATGGAAAAGCACGCTGGTCCGTCATACACACCGCGGATTACTCTCTCACACGAAGTATCTGGCTTGGGTTTTCTGGCACGCGAGAACGCGGCCATTCTCAACGCCACCCTCCGTCCCCTGGCGGAACGGACTATCTATGGCTTTCAGAAAGCCATGGAGGATATCTTCCAAGATACATCCTACACCCTGTATCTGACTCAGAATGATGGAAGCGTTCTCAGTGCGGCGGAGGCAGTTCATCTGCCTATTCGGACGTTCAATTCAGGCCCGACCAACTCTATTCGTGGCGGAGAGTTCCTTTGGCGCACTGCCACCGAGGCCGACGACCAACAGCAGCAAACTACTCGCACAGAACCACTAGTAGTCATCGACATTGGCGGAACCACCTCCGACAGCGGACTACTACTCCCCAACGGTCTGCCACAGATGAGCTCGGTGACGAGTCTGGTCGGGGGCGTGCGCACGAACTTTGCTCTGCCCGCGGTGGAAAGCATCGGATTAGGAGGAGGGAGTATCATCCGCGGCATCGGACAGAGTGATTGCTCCGTCGGACCGGACAGTGTAGCCCACGAGCTATTGGAGAAAGCCCGGCTGTTCGGTGGCGAGTACCTCACTGCGACTGATATCGCTGTGGCGTCTGCCATCCATGGTGTCACGGAGATGAACCCACTGAAAGGAATGGGCGATCCCACTAGACTAGCCGAGATAAATATCGCCATGGTGGATCAGGCACAATCTCTCATGCGCCGGAAGATTGAGGAGCTCGTCGACCGTACCAAGATCCACAAAGACGACGTGGACGTCCTTATCGTTGGCGGCGGTGCACCTATCATCCGCACAGACGAGCCCCTTCTGGGTGTACGGCAAGTGCAGACAGTCAAGGGCGGCGAGGTCGCCAATGCGGTCGGCGCAGCTATCTCGCGTGTCTCTGGGGTGATTGATACGGTCGTGGATACCTCCAACCGCACGGTCAAAGAGGCACAGGAGGCGGTCTGCGCGATGGCAACTGAAAAGGCCATCGGCAATGGTGCCCGGCCGGATACAGTGCAGGTGGCAGAAGTGACTATGCTACCCATCCAGTATGTCGATGCCAAGGCGCGTATTGTTGTGCGGGCCGTAGGACAGCTGGACGTGGTAGCAAAATCATCCGCAGAGAAAACGATGCCTATTCCAGACGAAGAAGTCCAAGACACAGCTACCATCAATTCTCCACTTGATACACTCAGTCCAGCAGCCCCACAACCTGACCTGCAATCCTACCGCCCCGAAATTCGCGACAAGCAATGGATCATTTCCCCCACCGACCTCGACTTCATCACCCGCGGCTGCAAAATCCTCGGCTGCGGCGGCGGCGGCGATCCCTACCAGGAGTACCTGAAAGCCAAAGCCTACCTGCACGACCACCCCGGTACGGTCCGAATCATATCTCCGGACACCCTACCCGACGACGCCCTCGTCGGCTGGACCGGCTGCATGGGCAGCCCCGAAGTGAGCATGGAGCGCCTCGAAAACAGCGAATGCCTACAAGCCCACGATGAGCTGATGCGGGTCACTGACAGCCCTCCCGTCTCTGCCTTCCTGGCCCTTGAGATCGGCGGCGGCAATGGCATGGTGAATCTCGGTGTTGCCGCACATTACAGCGTCCCCTGTCTGGATGCAGATTACATGGGTCGTGCGTATCCGACCATGTGGCAGGTTACACCGAACGTGTATGGCTCACCGCGGGGAGAGGCTCTCCTTCCAGCTGCGATCGCCAGTGGCGATGGCTCATTCATGACGATGACGAGGTCACGCACGGATCGGCTGGTGGATAAGACGCTGCGAGCGGCGGTCGTGGAGATGGGGTGTCGCGCTGGGAGTGCGGGTCCGCCTCATCAGGCCGGTCGGGTTCGACAGCAGGCGATTCGGAACACGGTTTCCCTGGCGTGGTGGATTGGACGGGCTGTGTGTCTCGAGAAGAACATTGCGGACAAGGCGATGCGGATTGTTGAAGCGGCGGGGGGACCGGAGAGTGGCGCCATCCTGGGTGAGGGTAAGGTGATCAGTGTGTCGAGGGTGCTGAAGACGGGGCATTCCTACGGGGTGTTGGAGATAAACGGACAGTTGAGTGATGGACGCAAAGCGACACTAAACATTCCATTTAAGAACGAGAATGCGTACGTTGAGGCAGTGCTGGAAGACGGAGAGAAGAAGATCCTGGCTGCTGTGCCGGATTTGATTGTTGTGTTGGATGCAGAGTCTGGGGCCGGGCTGGGGACCCCGGAGTTCAAGTATGGGCTCAAGGTGGTAGTATTGGCTATTGCTGCTTCGCCACGCTGGACAGATACGCCGAGAGGGATGGAGTTGGGCGGGCCCAAGTCGATGGGGTTCGAGGAGGTGGAATATGTTCCCATCGGGAAGTATAAGGAGCCGAGGAGCGTGATAGATGTGTTTGGAGGCCTATAGTATCTTGAAAATCGATATTCCAGTTATATACACCTGAACATAGGAAAGAAGAAGCAGCAGTCTTGCCTGCCAACACAGCCACGAATGTCATACATACACATCTGCACCTCCATAAATCCATCATCGATCACTCACACTAACCCTCACACTATTCTTGACATGAATCCTGGCCGTCGTATCCACCCACAACGCCTCCTGACTCGCATTATCCCCAAAACCAGCCCGCGCCTCGTTGGGATAACTTTCCGGCCCTTCATACAGGCGATGGCCGCCCCCAGCCTGCACATTCTGCAAATGCAGATCCGGACCCCCATTACTCCCTGGTGTCTGATCAGTTCCCTTCCGCGTGCTGCCCGCCACAGCACCGACTAGTCCCTTCAACGCCGGCAACGATAAGGCGATAATAGCCGTGCTGACTTCCGTATCGGACCAGACCATCACGACCGAGAAGTACCAGGTTGCGTCGGTTTTCTGAATGGCGGGGATCATGGAGATGATGCGGGCGACAGAGGTCCTTATTCGTTAGTTAGTTGAAAAATATCGGTTGTATGTATCTGAAACTGTGGTTACTCACATCACGGCACTAGAAACCAAGCAAGGTTAGTAAGTAAGTAAGTAGCCATTGAGGATAATAGAGACAGATGATGTAACACCTACAAAACACCAAAACACAACACCACACTCAACGCCGCCTTGCGCGTTGCATTCGCCTTGATAGAAAACACAATCTTGACCGGCAACAGCAAGATCAGCGAGTCGCAGATGATTGTCATCGCGGCAGTGGAAATAAACACCGTTTTCGATCCCAGACATTTTCCGGTAGCACCGCCCCAGAGCGCAGCCAGCGGGATACATTGCAGGGCGATGATGAGGACCTGGGCGAGCATGACGGCCGTGACGAATGCAAAGGAGATCTGGAGGTAGAGTTGGAACTGAGGCATGGGATTCAATCGACGGTAAAAGGCCAGACCGGAGAGTCGACACGTCCACAATGCGATCATGTATACCAGCTGCGCAGCGACGAGCCATTTGTAGAGCAGCGGGGTTTCGGCGGTATCGAGGGCCCAGATGTGCAGGCCGGCGCCGTAGCGGAGGACTTGTGTGGTGAGGGCCATGACGGCGATGTTTAGTAACTGTCAATTGTCAGGATTTGTGCACAAGTAGTGGATTTTGGGTATCCTACCATCGCTATGCAGATGAGTCCGTCATCCCACCCAAAGCTGCGGATCATGAACCATCGCGCATAGACTCGAATCAAGACGATCACACCAGACAATGCCGTCACGACGCCAATTCCGATCCTCGCCTGTGGGCGTCGATCCTGCGCCAGGAACTCTGGCGTTAGGTCAAGTGTGCTGGTCGACGCCATGGCAGACGCTGGGCCGCTACATCAAGGCGAGACACATCGAGAGAAGCAGACACGGCGGTTCTTTAGGCATCTGGTGGGTAGGACATGGACGGGTTTTTGTCTGCCGAACAGTCCTGCAGGAACAGGGGTGTCAAAGGCTAATGCAGGATTGCAGAGCCGTCGCGAAGGATGAGAAAAGCCGACAATCCTCATTAA